ATCAATAACTGCTCACTTATTTGGAAATACAAACTTTACATCTCTTAGATCGTTAGATTAATCAGTACACAATGGTATTGTCGCAGCATTGTAGCCTAGTAGTGGCCCATTCCGGGAGAAGTAGCGGTTTGAACTGTCATTCTGTGGATTGTGGATTTGCAGTATTTTGTATTTTATGTTGTATGTGGCCAGAATACGATTACTCTAGCTAGCTGTTTGCTTCGAGCCCCGAGCTGCTCTGTGCTCACCCTTTGCTTTCATGGGCTAAGTTGCTGGTAAGATCCTCTTGTAACTCCTCAGCCCTTGGCCCCGGCAATGCAAAGCACAAACCATCATCTAGCTAGAGCTAGCGCATCATCCGAATGATCCATCAAGCTTCACTCTTCAATAGCTCTTCATCGTCAGCCAATGAAATAAGTCTTAGTGAGAAAGTGCGCTCGTGGGTCATTATTTCTCTATGCAGCGTGCAGTGTTCTTCTTGAGTCCCTTCTCAAGAAACACAGAATCTGAGAATCTGATACCCTTATGTCATTCTGCCTGTCCAGCTGTCTTCAACCAGTACAATGTCATGACAATTAATTGTATTCCTGATCACACTGAACACTGGCTCTAAACTGGCAGAAGCCAGGCTATAAGACTTTAAAAGACTGCGTTCCTAAACCAGTAACGGTCTTGGATCCAAACAAAGAGAAGAAGGAAAGAGCTCCTGAGGTCCTTTCAGGAGCAGAGAACAGTGGACTGAGGGGCTACCGTACCTAGCTAGTACAGACTGTTCGGTAGCCTAAAATTGTTTAGGTTGGTTGGTTGGTTAACTGGCATCGGGTTTCGACAAGGTTGGAAAACATGGGATGCCGAAACAGAGCCCATCCATTGCCTTGCCACCACCTAGAACCGCTTACTACTGATATGGGATTATGTTTAGGTGCGGAAACTCGACGACTGGACTCTACATGTGCTACTAGTACTCGATTGGGTTTGGCAGCCCGGGGCTACAAGATCTAGCTAGTTAGACGACGCGAAGCAACTCGCAGCTCCACAGGCAAGGCTAAATACTTGACGGCGCACCACTCTCTCTTGCCCGGAGAATCGAATCGAATCGAATCGAATCAAGCGAATGAATCGATCACAACATCACAACGACGCTCATCAGATTCGCCTGATCTCCGAATCTCAGGCTCCTCGTAATATCACCGCCTTACTTTTATTACTCTTTTTACTGCCTACCGGGCCTTGTACAGGTCATACAGTGGCACAAGCAGGGAACGAACCATAATGAGCTGTCGGGGTCGAGTTGTACCGAGCATGAGACATGAGACACGGCCATGACGAGCGACGGAAAGGGAGCCCGTTCCAAGTTGTTGATGTTCCCAGTTGTTGCAAACGAAAAAAGTTTCGCCCTTGATGGATGGCATCGTGACAACGAAAGACCACGACGCAACGGTGCACCCTGCGCTCCAGCAAGCCAATGCTCCATCCAAGTATCGGTACCCATTCGGTTCGATTCGCGCCAATCAAGCCCGGCTCTGCCGTTGCGTCGTCGTCGTCGTCGTTGGCAAGAGATCGCCCAGAACCGTTCCACTGGGACAACTGCGATATATAATGGCATGGACTCGTTTCTTGTGTCTCGTGTACTTGTATTTGTGCAATGCCACGGACTGAATGGAAAATGCATCTTCTCGGTATTTGGGCCCGTGTTTCCAAAACTCCCACGTATTGGATTTTTTGATATCGTTGGGATTGCCTTCAAAGTATTGGTGTGGCGTATAGCCGTGAAATCGCGGCCTCCCGGTATCATCGACACTGTCCGTCATTGTGACATCGCCACTATTTTGCCAAAAGCACATGCCGAGGAATCGATCGTCCGCGGACGTTTGTTCGTTGGGAGAACACCTTCGAGGCATGGCTTCGACGACCAGTTTGAGTCCGAGTCGATTGAGCAGGTATCCCGAACCACCGCCCACGTAGAGTCCAAACTTTTGACGATGTGGTTTTTGGCTGATGATATTCCCCGTCAAGAGTGGTCTTTTGTCGTTCGTAAGACCTCTTATTTCCAGAACGCCCAGAAAGCGTCTCATATTTTCGATAATGACATGGGCATCGTCATTGGCAATGTAAAAGTAGTCGAATTGGTTCAGAAAATTGTCGTAGGTGTATCCCAGATTGGATCTCATTTTTTGCCACAAATTTCGGTAGGATTCGTCAAAGCGATGAGGAATGTCAACGGTGCCCCAGTCCAGACTGGAGGGATCATTGTCGGGTCCCGTTTTGGTGGAGGCGGCAAAGAATCCATCGCACCGCCATCCCCACGTATCTCGAATTCCCTCCAGTCGGTCGTGTGCTCCGGCATGGGAAATGACGATGCACAGAATGGTGCCATTGGATTTCTTGTGAATGCCATCTTCTGGTAGAGTGATGCGTGGTTGTGGAGTGGTGGGAAGAATTTCCACATTGTCCACTTTGGTCACATTGGGTTCATTTTGTTTGGTGGGATTGGGTGAATCCGGTACAATTTTGAAGAGAATGGGCCACCCAATCAATTCGGCTCCTTGGCGGAGGGGTTTGTTGCAAACTTCGTCCAAGTCTCCTCCGGGTGAAATTGGCATGTACGAGAGAGGTGGCATGGCCGTGTTGGTAGTATCACCGATGCTATCTCGGTATCGTTGGATAAACGCATTTCTAACCTTGTAGACATCCACAATGTAGCCCATGGTCCCATTGGGAAATCTAGCGCCTTGATGAATGTCATCCTTCTCACTGTTGTAGAGTCTTCCTTGAGGTTGTTCTGGTGGTGCTGGAGGTGGAGTGGATTGAGATGGATTTTCAACTACAGGCTCAGGCTTAGGCTCAGGCTTAGGCTCAGATTGAGGTTGGGTAGCTGTGGCTGTAGCAGGATCAGGATCAGGATCAGATTTTATATTGGGTTCAGGATGAGGCTCAGAATCAGATTTTGTCTGAAGCTCAGAAAGTGCTTGTTCAGTTGCAAGGGTGATCTGAGGAGCTTGTTCAGAGGCAGGCTTGCTGATGTTGGCAGCAGCTGCAGTCTTGTTGCTGGTGGTGGTAAAAGAAGTAGTACCAGTCTCATTGCGACCAACAGTCGACGTTTTCGTAGAGTTTTTTGGATCCCCAATAAAATCAAGATAAGCTCTTGAAAATCGTTTGCTGCCCATGAAATCTCCATACAAACAGAACAGTACAACCAGTCCAACCACCAAAGGAGCCAACCGAAGTTTCAATTTATTATCACTTGTCATTCTGCAACAGAAATATGATAAAAAGCAACTCAACTCCACCGGTTGTTTGGGACTTTGGGTAGCTCCAATAAAATCCTTTTCCTCCAACAATCAAGAAATATAACTCGAATCTACAACGAGGCCTGAGACTGTACAGATGTGGCTCTCTAGTCGATAGATGGTGATCTTCCTATCTCAAGCTGATCATCCAGAAGGAAAGTTGCATGGCTTTTGGTTTTTGGTTTTGTGCAGTTTGCTTGGGCCGCGCAGAAGATTCGATGTTGTTCTTCTCTTGGCACGTACCACTGGGTACGGTGGTACCTGGTACCTGGTGCCAGTTCGTACAACATCGTGTCTTTGGCTCATGAGGTGCCATAAAAGCTAAGAGAGCTGCTGAAAGATGCGATCCGATGCATCAATCAACGAGTCGAGTCGAGTCATTCTTTGCACTTTTGCTGTGCCGTGCCTTGCACAGGTAGGTATCCGGATAGCAGATTGAGCAGAAGGAAGCAAAGCATCATGATTTGAACATTCCCCAAGCCTTTTCTCCTCATTGAGTGATAGTCAACGGCACACTCTGAGCATGCCAAGAATACAAATCGACAGTACTAAAGCATGGAACAAGGCAAATTGTATCGAAATCCTTGCTAGCTAGAGTCGAGTCTGCTCCCATCATTGAACCAAAACTAAAGGATTTAGTTAGATACAACAAATATCATTATTAACAAGATGTTTGAGTTCAAAGCCTCTGCTAACACCCTTTGTTTCCCGCTTCGCCCCAGCTCCCATCCCATCGACATGAGCCCTTTTGAAAAAGAGAGAACCAATCCAAACAAAACTAGTCACTCGTTGGTACTGTACCACCCAGTTTTAAACAACATCCAAGAGATACTGCCGAGTAATGGAGGATGACTCCATCCACCAGCCACGTCCCATAAAACTCAAAAGGTTGAGCCAAACTTCCTTGGGAAAGTCACTGTTGGGTGCAATCAAATGCCAAAGGTAGTTGATCATTCTCCTGTCTGTGGTTGGAAAGCTCCAGTGAAGCCACTTGCTCCATGCCATGACATTCTCATCAGGTCCATACATGGCTTGGAGAAGGTTTTGCAGAATCTTGTTTTTGTTGGACCTGCGCCTAATAAAGCAATAGTCAGAGATCATGACATTTCCCTGGTCCCTCAAGATTTGAACAGCAGTGACGTCTCTCCTGATGAGAGCCTTTTCCAGGGTATTCTCAATCAAAAACTTTGCTTCAACATGCTTGTCGCCACCACCACAATGAGCCAACTCTTCCTTGTACAGAATTTTCTGGAATTCTTCCTTTCTGTGCTCCAGCAATATGGTCATACATTCATGCTGTCCATTGTCTAGTGCTGCCATCAGAGCATGAGGAGTCCCGAGAGTGACAGAACAGTTACCATCCACTAGAAGGAGCTTGAGTAACTTTGGATATCCATGATAGGCAGCACAAGCTACCGCAGATCGGTGTGAAGAATCCACACAACTGAAAATGTCATTGGGATCCACGTTTCTCCCCACCAGAGCCCTTGTATAGTCCATCAAGAGGCGTTCTTGTTTTTCTTTGGGTGTATAAGCGGTACTGGCGGAAATTGCCATGGCCAAGTAGGATGTGGGTAGTGCCGCAATTTCTTCCGCCGAAGCCTTCTGAATCTGCTTGGTGCACTTGACAAAACCGCAACGCCCAATGTCCAAAAAGTGACGATTCCAGGGAGGTGATGTGTGTACCACATCCATCCAACGTCTACCAAGGTTTACAGATGTGGATCGACGACCGGATTTGCGGCGGCTTGGAGGCCGAGCGGTGGTGGTGCTCGATGATGAGTTCCTAGTTGTGAGGTCTGTTCCGCTCGACGAAGCGGACGCCGACATCTTGTCAATCCTGTTTGGTTTTCTACCGGTATTTTGTATCAAGAACTCTGTAGCTAGAGCGGAGGAACTTGATGGTTGTTACGTCTCTTTCAAGCCAATCATTGATTAGCTAGCTAGTCCTTACATGTACATGCAACAGTGGGTCAAAGCTTCTTCTTCCATGCACCCACGTGAAGCCTTTTCCCCTCGACATTTTGGATTGAAGATTCTTCGATCGGAATGATCGCCAGCGTGCGTTGGACGTCATTTCTGTACTTTTATAGTCAGAATGCGTAAATTTATGGAAATAAATTGTAAAAGATCCGAATCTTTATTGCACCAGTACGATACAAGCCAATAAGCTGTTGATGGGTTTTGCCATAGCGTCGGTTGTGGGTCTCTTTGTTTGGCCTTGGACCTAGTTTTGTACCCGAACGTCAATCAAGTAGGTTTGCTAGCTAACTAGCTGTGGTGCGTGAAGGGAACTGGTGCGAGGGTCAGCCGTGATCTTCATTAAAACCCATGAACTCAGACTATTGAGTCATTGTTGGGCAATGAATTGCCACAGGATGTGGTTCGTTCTTTTGTGGTTGGTTGGAAACCTAGAAAGAAGAAACTATAGTTGTCTACAGTAGTTCCATACCGTGACAGCCGCAGTGTGGTTCCAAGGTACCGGTACCGGTACTTGTGATAGCCTGCCTCACAGAATCGAGTGGAAGTCTCTTGACGTGGTAGCTTTACTACTTCCGTGCAGCAGAGATCCGTAGACGGTTGATCCTACTAGCTACGAGCCACAAAAGGTATTACGTCATTGCTGGATCGTTCAATTCTCCTGCTCTGCCGTATCTGTGGATTCGACTCGACTCTGGCCCGCCTCAGTCCTGACGTATACGAATGCAGAAACTATTTGCTACACATTACAACTACGGGGGGCTACAGCTGACAGTGGCAATCACCCTAATAATACATAGTTTGGCTGGTTGGTCCTGCTTTTTGAGACTCGTCGTCTTTTGATCCGATGGAGTTCGATTCCATTCAGCCAAACATGGGCGGATACAAAACAAACGACCATCAAAATAAATGATGTGAATAATGATGTGTGGATATTGCTTGCTTGGGGGGGAAACACCCTTGCAGACCCTTGCACCCTGCAAGATGGGATTATAGATCGTAATATGCAATGAGTCGTCCTCGAGGGATGGCAGATGGATCCATCCACCAGCCTCTTTTCACAAAGCTGAGAATGATGAGCCATACTTCCTTGGGAAACTGGCTTTTTGGTGCAATCCCATTCCAAAGGTAGTTTATCATTTGTCGGTCAGTGGTTGGGAAACTCCAGTGAAGATGCTTGCTCCATGCCAAAATGTTCTGGTGGGGTTCATACAGCTTGGCCAGAATGTCTGGCAGCTTCTCATCGTTCTTCCAATAGCAATAGTCCGAGATGCGGGCATTCCCCTTGTCTCTGAGAATTTGAACTGCAATGACATCCCTGCGTGCCACAGCTGTTTGCAGGGCGTTCCCAGCAGGTTTTCGTTGCCCATAAATGCTGGCATCAAAAGCATAGGCCAACTCTTCCTCGTGAAGAATATTCTGGAGTTCTTCCTTTCTGTGCTCCAGCAGGATGGTGATGCATTCATACCTTCGCTTTGCTACGGCTCGTATGAATGCACGAGGACTCCCCAGCGTGATGAAACAGTTAGCATCCACTAACAGGAGCTTGAGTAGCTTTGGGTATCCATAGGCGGCGGCTGCAGCAACATCCGATTTAAAAGGACCCCAATCGCCATCATTGTTTGCACCATTATCATTCAGATCCACACGTCTTGTGATGAGGGCGCTTGCATATTGGCAAAGGAGAATGTCTTGGGTTGCTTTTGGTTTCTTCCTTGTCATACGTGCAACTCGCACTACAGAACGTAAGGTCGGCAGATTGGCAATCTCCTGGTCCGTAGCATTTAGAATCCGATTGGTGCACTTGGCAAAATGACCTTCCGCAATGTCGGAACAGTGTTGTTCAAAGATATCGTCTGAGGACATTTTTCTTTCAATTGCTGGAGTGAGTCGAGTCAACAAGGAATTCTTTGGTTAGATTAAGGAAGCTCTGTTCTATAGCTACGGTAGCTTGGTCGGTACTACCGGTACCGGTATGATATGACTCTCTTGTCGATCGATGACGGGTCAACTACATGTAGCTAGTTGCTCTCTTCTTCTTGCTACATGCACTTGTAGATAGGTTTGATTGTGCATGGTCTGCGAGCGAAGCCACTTCGCTGCCCGAATGCATGTGGATTGAGATTCATTCGGAACCTTGAATCATGGATTATTTGAACCCTGAATGGATGGGGTATTTAATGATTTGCTGCCTCATCAGCGCGTCACCATAGTTACGGTAAGGGTAGATACGGGGTGTGTCTCACAAATCCCAAACCTCCAGAATCAGTAGCAGCAGCGTGACCCGCAATGCAAAAGCCAACGAAGCAGACAAACACATTCGGCCATGGCTATCACAAGACTACTGTACATCATGCAACCGTCCGGTCCTGTTCATTTTAGCTTTGGCCATGCAGTTAGTTGGTGGGACCAAAGGCAGCCTCGAACAAAGCTGGAGACTTGACTTTCACTACATGTACCCCATCGATGAACGGCAAGGCTGGTGCACATGTAGTGGGTTTTTCTTCAGAGAGTTGTGCTGCACGTAAAAGAGAGGATGCTTGTTTACTAGCCCGTCTGTGTTGGCATGTTCAAGGCAGTGCCAAATAAAATAGCCATGCACACACATGCATGACGAGAGCAATAATAAGTTCAGCCACTACAGTGAAGAAGAAGCTTTCAACTAGGAAAAACTAGCTAGCTAGCTGTTGTATCTTCCTTTTGTTTCTCAATAATAGTATTCTAGAGTACATCAAGTGGCTAGCTAGCTCATAGTGCTGGGTGGTGTGCTAGTGATGATGAAGTGATATGGTGTTCAAGTTGCTATTGGTTTCTGACTGGCGCTTCCCACGCTGATGACCTTAATCTGCCAACCAGACCCAATAGCCAGCCTTAGCCAACGTGATACCTGATAATGTTGTCATGCCTTGTTGTGTGTGTGTGTGTGTGTGTGTTTGTTGCTGTAGTTTACAAAGAGTGCTTCTCATCCTGAAGTGCCGTCACTGCAACCATCCCAGCCTAACCCTCCTCCATTCCTGTCAACTTTCCAATCTCGCTAAGAGTCGCTAGCTAGTAGTTAGCGAAAGTAGACAATGGTTGGTTTGGTTGGTTGTTGGTGGTCCGAAGATGATGAGTTGTTGTTGTCAATAGTGGGACAAGCATAATGAAGCTCGGTGGTTCCATCAATGGTGGCAGATAGTCTGGTATTCATGTTGTACTTTTCCACAATCGTAATCTCCAGAGAAGGCTGCTCTTCTTTCAAATCAATCCAATAAGAGAGATTCCGGCTGCTATAGTTGCTATTGTTGTTGTTGTGGATCACAGAGGAAGACATGATGCTAATAGAAGTAAGTATTGACAGCTTGACAGAGAAGGCAATGATAAAAACGAGGGACAAGCCGGTGGACAAACAAAGATGTGCAGCAGTGTCTTTTTGTGCTCTCTCTGAGCTGGTGGGTGAACGGACAGCGATGAATGGACGGTTGAGCTTGGCGCCCCAGGAATGAAAGTGCAAAGCAAACCCACGTATGAGCCATCAAAAGATCAATGACGTTCGAAATTTTCCGAGTCCAACGGCGCATGCCTTGGTGTCTTTGCGCCATCCAAGCAAGGACGAAAAAGATTTAGACCATCATGGATTTCGAGCAGGGTCTCCAACCAAAGTCACTATTCGTGACCCAAATGAGTCACGCTAAAAGATATTACCCTCTAGCTCTGCTCTACCGTATCTGACGTACCGGTTCGTATGACTCGACTCTTCTAGCTGCATGTACTGAAGACGACCTGGCGTTCCTCACGGCACGAGTGGCCAAGTTAGAGCTGGAAGCCAAACTGCGGGCGGCAACACCCACTCCAACACCATCCGCAGCACCAACACCGGCTCAGCCCCGCAAGAACCGTGCCTTCGTCAAACCATACCGCGAGTGGAAGAAGGGTGACCGCATCATCATCTCCCGCAACGACAAGTACAACGGACGGAGGGTACCATCCAAGGAGCCCGCCCTGGCGATGGCCGTTCTGGGACACAAGCTGGACCCCAAGGTCCTGGCGGGTATCAAATCACGTATACAAGACCGACAACGGCTTCCGCTTGATGAAAGCAGGTAACTCTACAGCCGGGTCGGGACATAAAAAACGCAGCAACAACAACAACAGCAGCAACAACAGCAAACGCAAAGCTCGCCACCTCCCTGGCAGTGGCGGCGTAATTGGCCGGCTTGGCCGGCCGACACGGGGGATTATATCTATGGTAGTCATGAGGGTCTGGCTCCGACGGAGGTAAATTGGATGGAAGTAGGTCTTTCTGTGATACATGCAGCAGGCCTCTCTGGTATAACCAGGGCATTGCCTTTGCCTGGATCTAGTCTGGAGGGGAGGTTTACAACCTCTATAGACCCATAATGACATGATCTTGCTATAGTCTAATAGCTCCACTTGACCTAAAAGGTGGAATCGCCCACCAACCTTTTTTTCACCCAAGGACAGGGGAATGGGAAAAAAGAGGGAGATTTTTTTTCTTAACCCAGGAAACGGGGGAGGGGGGGGGGGGGAGGGGTATTTTGGCGGAGTTAACAGGGAGCCGACCATAAGGGAGACTGACGGACAGGAATCCGGGAGAGCCACTCATCCAAGGATGAGGTGGTGGAGTATGACATACGCTCTCTAAATAATGTTATTCTGGGACTGGTACAATGTACTAGTACAGTACATTGTACCGGTAGGTATTTCAAGTGTCTTGTCACTACAGGCCTCATGATCATGCGATTTTGGTCCTGGCTTATCAGTAGTTGGCAGCGCATTGATTGAATTGATTCGATTCCATCATCAAAAACACAAAATGGAAGCAATGATGAGTGAAGCTGGAACTTCCATTCCATCATCTTGGCTTGAGCGCCATGATGCTCGAGCAGATTTGAGAACTATTCTTATCCTATTGAGCCTCGATGCGACCGTGATGACAGCCTATGTCAGGAAAGGTTTATCACCCCACATGGCTACGTATTATGGACGTCTCAAGATCCAAGCTCACATTTTAGCAGGAACATCTCTCATCTTGGTTGGCTTGGTTGCCGTTCTGGGATCATCTGCACTACTTGCTGTGGACACTACAATGGACAGTCTCAAGAAGTTCCGTGCTGCCGTCCACGTCTGCCAAGTATCTTTTGGCTTGCTTGTGGTCATTGCAGGGGTTTCGTCGATTCTTCTTGCGAGGCACACCAGTGGTCATCCAGGCTTCAACATGTGCGGATATACTCTGTACGCTTTGTTGTGGATCTACACAGGCATGCACGTACTTTCTGATTCCTTCTCCTTGGTGCAAGATGATGGCATGAACGACGAAGTTTCTGCTGGTCATCCAGTCTATGAGTCCTGGGTCATTGGTCATGCGTTTTTGTTTTGCCGCATCTTCACCATATTGCTCAAACCGCTAGAAGATGTGTTGGGTGGCAAGAAGATGGTATATTCGGTAGGGACTTCCATTGCCACTCTTGTTCCTATCCTGCTGGTCTTTGACTGGCAAGAAGGAACTGTCATTTGGGCTGTTTCTATCTGTGCCTGCCTGGTTGCTCAAAAGATGGGACTTGGAGTCTGGCATGCCCGCTCCTCCAAAAAGGGTGGTTTGAAAAGAGAAGTCGCGCTATCCGAGTTTGCTCGAGGAGAGCACCATGTGGCAACTTCCCTCGTCAAAGCTGTGGTGTCGAGGAAGCTTTCGTTCTGAGCGACGACCACACCACGACGAGTATCGAACGAGAGTATCGACCCGCAGGATTCCCGCCAAGGTTTTTGTCAACGCAGCTCTCATGATCGTAGCCACTGTGTACTGGTACTGGTACCGGTACCTGGTACCGAGTGTGGTACCGGTATCGCGTAAATCTATAGGTCTCAACCACTCATGACTGTGACTCAACAGTGCACGTCTCCGCCGTGCTGGCTTTTAATTAAAAAACATGTATGTTGCTTTGTGAAGGGCTTCAACTGCTTATTCCAATGGTTTTATGCATATCTAGCAGCAGGGTGGCTCCATTTGATACCCCTCACAATGCGATTACACACATTTCTAAAAATACTAATCTTTCTCTCATCATATTACCTTTGGAACCAGCCACCGGTACAGTGGCCGCATGCATGGATAGAAGCCAGTCCATCCGATCCCAACTTCAGGAACCATTCGTGACCTATTGAGTCACGATTAAAAGATATTGCATCTTTTTTTCGTATCTTTTTGACTTTCTCTTTGTGACTTCAAGCAGGTCACAAGATAATATCAAGCACCACTTTTGTTCTTTGGCAGAGACAAGCCCTCCCACCGGTACCATAATAGATAGATAATCAAGTCAAGCCGATACGCCAAGATGCAGTGGTCTCAGGTATTGCTGCGTGCTTCTGCTCGTCGGGTTCGCCCTTCAATCAAGGATGGAAGGTTCCGGAATCTTCAGACTCTGACCCTGAATGCAGGTTCTACGACGCTCAAGTACGCTCTCTACGACATTGATGATCAGACTACAAGTGCAAGTAGTAAGAAAGCCACGCTGTTGGCATCTGGCTTGGTGGACAAAGTGGGAAAGCCAGATGCTAGCATTACGCACAACAAGCAAGTGGTGCCTACTGCGTCAGCTATTGACAACCACGTGGATGCTCTAGACCAAGTCCTGCAAATTCTATTGCAATCGGAACAAACGCCACAAATTGACTGCATTGGCCATCGGGTGGTCCATGGAGGTCCCACCTTTACATCCCCCACACTACTGACACCGACCGTCATGGACGAATTGCAATCCATTTCCAATTTGGCGCCGCTGCACAATCCACCCGCATTGGCCGCCATTCAAGCAAGTCTTGAACAATTTCCCACGGCCACACAAGTCGCTATTTTTGACACGGCCTTTCACGTGGCGTCACTACCACCGAAAGCGTATCGCTATGCCGTTCCACAGGAGTGGTATCACGACCACCACATTCGAAAATATGGATTCCACGGAACATCCTATTCATATGTCGCCGAACAAACGGCACGCCACTTACAAAAACCGGTCGAGGAGTGCAATCTGATTGTCTTGCATTTGGGAGGTGGAGCCAGTATGTGCTGCATTCAAAATGGAAAATCCATTGATACCACCATGGGATTGACGCCACTCGAAGGACTCGTCATGGCCACTCGCGCGGGAGATGTCGATGTGGGTATGGTCGATTATCTCGTCAATTCTCAAAACTTGACGTTGGATCAAGTCATGCAACAACTCAATCGACAATCGGGATTGCTTGGGCTGTCGGGAGGCGTGTCCAGTGACATGCGAGTCCTTCGCGATGATAATGCAAATGACGAAAATTGTCAATTGGCACGACAAGTATTTGCCGAACGATGTCGCAAATACTTGGGAGCCTACTATTTCAAATTACAAGGACGCGTCGATGCCATTGTCTTTTGTGGTGGAATTGGAGAAGGCGATGCGCCCCTGCGACAAATGATTCTCGACGGACTCGAACAGGATATTGGCATTGCCGTGGACAATGCCAAGAATGCAGTGGCTGTGGCACCCGATCGCATCGTCGAAGTTCATCCCGCCTTGGCCAAAACCAAGGTGCTCGTCTATCCCACCGATGAAGAAGTCAGTATTGCCTTGCAGGCATCGTCGCTCGTAGCCGCCACAACGACAGCAACTCCCAAACCAACTTCTACCACAGCAACAACACCCAAACCCATGACGCAGGCTACCACCAATTTGTTTTGTCATTCGCTGGGACATACATACACGGGACCACAAGAATTGGGATTGCTACGCATTTTTGCCGCCACAATCAACAAGGTCGGATACTTTCGGCCTATTGGACGCGGGGGAGTAGACGATTATCGCATTGCCCTCATGAAACAGCATTTTGGTTGGACCGACGACGAGGAGCAAGCCATGTACGGAGTGGACGAAGAAGAGGCATGGGAGTTGTTGGCTGCGGGACGAGATGATGAACTATTTGAACGCATCCTGCAAAAGTATCTCGCATATGCCGCCACCAAAGAATTTGTGATGGTCAGTTCGTTTACACAAGAAGACGATTCGCTTCATTTTGCGGCCAAGCTCTGCTCCGCGCTCAACATACCCGCCATTATGATTGGAGATGCCGATCATGATTCGCAACTGAGCATTGCTCAAACAGCGTTTGACAGTCATGGCGCCAACTGCAGTGGCGTCATTGTTTCGAATGTGACGGATGAAAGCGCCCAACGAAAAAAGTTGGAGCAAATGAACCTGCAACCCGTGGCATTGCTTCCGCCCAATCCCGTCTTGGAGAACCGAACCATGCGAGAAGCCATGAACCTGTTGGAAGATTCCGTGTGTCTCTATGGAGCCGAGCATTTGGAGTCGACCATGGACTCGATGCGCATTTATACCGTACAGGTCGATGACATGTTGGATCTGATTGTCGACGACGAATTGGCCATTGTCAATTGTCGCCGGGTCGATACTCTCATGTCCATTCTCTTGGCGGCACAATCATCCAAGGCACCCACACCGGCGGGGATCTTGTTTACGCTCTATCAACCGGGAGATTTGAGTCCCAAAATTGCCGCGCTGCTCGATGGACTGCGAGACATTCGCATCCCCATTTTGGCAACCTCGATGGATACCATTGATGCCGCCAATATTTTGGATAGTACGCCGCCCTTTTTGACAGCTCAAAGTCAAGACAAGATTCACGAAGCGGCGGCCACAATGGAAACGCACTTGGATTACAATTTTCTGGATCAGTTTCGAGATGACGACGACAATACGCAACAGCGAGATATTGGGCCACGAATGTTCCAGTATTCCACCTTTTTGAAAGCACGCAAGCTGCAAAAGACCATTGTTTTGCCCGAGGGAGCGGATCCTCGTGTCGTGGAAGCCGCCACCATTTTGGTGAAACGACAACTTTGCAAGGTCATTTTGGTGGGAGACCCGGTTGTCATTCAGGCCAATGCCGAGGCTCGTCGTGTCTCTCTGGACGGGATTACTGTGGTTAACCCGCAAAGCTATGCACAGCTAGATGACATGATTGATGCCTTTGTCGAGGCTCGCAAGTCCAAGGGATTGACACCTGTCGAAGCCAAGGAGTACTTACTGCAAGATGTGAACTATTTCTCAACCATGATGATGCATCTGGGGCTGGCTGATGGGATGGTGTCAGGTGCCATGCACTCGAGTGCCAACACAATCAGACCGGCCCTGCAAATACTCAAGACGGCACCGGGAGCTTCCTTGGTCAGTTCGATTTTCTTTATGCTTTTGGAAGACGGAGTCAAAGGTACGTTCTGTTTTGTGTCATATATATCCGTGGCTTTCTCAGAGAATTCAACTCATTGGCTTTTTCTGGCTTGAATTGGCTTGTGCTCGTTTGCTCGCGAAAAGTCTTTGGTGATTGTGCCATCAATACCATGCCCAATGCCGAACAGCTCGCGGAGATTGCCGTATCATCAGCCAAGACGTCTCAGCAGTTCGGTATTGAACCTCGCGTGGGGTTGCTGAGCTACGCCACTGGCGACAGCAACAAAGGAGAGTTGATTGACAAGGTAATTACGGCAACGAAGTCGGCCAAGGCCGCCGCCGAGAAGGAAGGATTCATGAATCCAGAGCTGATTGCCGGTCCACTTCAGTTTGATGCGGCAGTGGACCCTGCTGTGGCTGCTGTCAAGGCAAAGGACAGTCCCGTGGCTGGCAAAGCCAACGTGCTGATCTTTCCAGACTTGAATAGTGGCAACAACGGGTACAAAGCCGTTCAGCAAGCTTCCAAGACAATCGCGGTGGGCCCCATCCTGCAGGGACTGCGAAAGCCGGTGAATGATCTTAGCAGGGGAGCTACGGTGGATGACATTGTGAACACCGCCGTCATCACAGCGTTGCAAACAGAGAACTAGTTATAGTTGCGCTGCACTGCTGGTGTAGAAACAAAAAGGTGACGGCGAGGATGATGCAGTAAGGCAGCCACGGAAAAGTTTTGATGGAGGTGTTTGGTCGCCTGATTAGCTCGGAGGCTGGTAGATTGCGTGAGACAACATAGCACATTCATAGTTTTGATTTCTTCTGCACGTTCTACTGTACCCGGTGCGTCCCTATAGCCACAGTAGCTTGCGGTCGAGCCCTGAGAGGTTGTACCATAGCATCCAGCACTTTACTCGATCGTCCTTGCGCCTGGCATGCATTGACATGATCGACCACCATGCAGAATTAATCGAGAACTAAAGTGTCAGGGATGCGAAGGAGGATACTGGTGAGATAGATGCTGGTCCCAAAATGTGCGAGCAGGTACCAATGATGCAGTGGAAATTGTGATTGGCAGCTGTTGGAGGTGTCAGGGAACGGCAGATTAGGAAGGAGACTGCTGAGATAGATGTTGGGGGAAACTGGATAGTAAATTGTGACGTTGTGAGTAAGCAGCTGCTGAAAGGAAGACTGCTTAGATAGCTGCTGGGTGCTGGGGATTAGACTGTAGGGCACATGACAAAGTGAGAAGTTGTGAGCGAGCGGCTGGAAAAGGGCGGGTAGAGAGGAGGAGGTTTGCGTGAGATGCAGGTTGTAAATGGACATTCCGTACCGACACGAATATCCAACTGGCTAGATCTTATTGACGACTACGAGACGGCAGGGGGTGGTGGCTCGCCTACAGGCCAGCCACCAGCACAAACTTGGAATTACTATTGAAAGACTACTCAAAAGGTACAGCTGAGAGCCGACCACCATTCCGCAACACCTCCAACGCATATCAAACAACCGGCAGGGACAAGGTCGGTGTGAACGCCATGGATACCGACCGACCAACCGACCAACCGAGGACCGACCACCGACTGACAGGGACAAGACCGAAGAGACTTTTGGATCAGATCCGGGGATCACGGAGCACAAGGGTAGCCAACCGCCAACGAATGTACCGACCAACCGAAGACCGACCAACCAAGGAAGGGATCACCAGCACACCAATGGAAGACTACTCAAAAGGTATAGCCGAAGACCAACGCATGAGGGAAAGGACTGATGACTCGGATCAAGAAGCGACAACGGCCGAGAAGGAGCGAAGGCGGTAGAAAAGATCAAAAGGAAGAAATCTTGGAACCCACTCTGGACAGTCACTCGTCGATCCAAGCACAGCATGCAGCCGACCACCAACAGGAGCCGCCAACGGTCAAAAATAAGGGTTGAAACATGGGAGAATGCCGAGCAAAGGGAATGGGAATTGATTGACCGAGAGAAACCGTAGACTGGACGGGACCACGAGGATCGGATAGATAGATGCGTCGGAGCGTGTTGTCTTGTCTTGTCTTGGCTGGGTGCTGCAAATCGACTGCGGCATGTCTTCTTGCATGAAAAAGAGAGGCGAGACGTCGACCGACGACCGACCCGCCAAAGAGAAGAACCAACATTGTCAAGACCTACGTTGGGAACTAAAGGGGATGAGGCGGCAACGGTCGATGACCGTGAAAGTAGCAATGGCACAAAAGACAGGAACACAGGGACTTACCTTTGCACGAGGACGAACCAACCCACAACAGGAACCACCGCAAGATGACTCTGGATCCGTTCAACCACACAGCGGTCCGCGCGAGGGTCCACCCGTAGATGCACATCTCGAAGCACGTGAACGTGGGACTCTCAATACCATCATTGTCATCGTCATGCATGTCTTCCAAGAAGAAGCACAAGAAGTTGTGCAATGTGCAACCGAATTCAAGTGCTGCGGCATCTTGCATGTTTGGCAGAGCTCTGAAACGACTCGACTCGTTTCAGTTTCAAAAAGTTTGATTTTGAAATACAATCGAACGCCATTCGCACGCTGTGGTAGACATTTTGATTCCAGTTTGATTTCATTCTCAATTGATACAAACAAACTTTCAAAATCAAAATGGTCTGCCGTTCTGTGTTATCGACGGACTTTCGAACGGCAGAGGGTGGCATTCGGTCAATTAATGCCGAAACAACACTCGGAACTGAACAAAAAAGTGGCCGCCGAAGCCTCAAGCTTGGCTTGCTCTTTACCGGAATGACGTCAGAAACTCTCAAATCCCAAAGATCCAAAAGATCGTCGAAGGACAATCGACGAATTGATGTGAGGGCCGACGTCCAGGATATCAGCACCATCGACGACCGAATAGAATCATCATCTCGATATCTACTGAAGTATATAAGTATAGCGTACGGTACGGCACAAAAAAGATGAATGGCATGAAAGGAACTACTATTCCGTTTGTCTTGATGCTGCTGCTATTGGCAAATCATGGTGTGAGTTTCGTGGCATCATGGCAATTCCAACCGCCAAGCTTCTCACTCCTTTCGGCTAACACTGGGATGGGTATGCATAGCGAGGCTGGATCGGCGTGGCATCATTTTTGGGAGACGTTTCCGCAGTGGCATCTTCCAACAACGAAAACCGCCAAAGGCCATCCACAGTCTTACCATTATCATGAAAGTGTCCAAGACTTGGCCAACCTAGAAATTCCCCGTCGGGACGGTGGTACCGTTTTGGCGTACCAGACTACTTGTGCTTCTTCTTCTGGCAAAAATAATAAGAAACTACTCATTCTTCTTCACGAATTCTTTGGCTTGAGCCAATCCATCTGTGACAAGGCCGATGCTCTGGCCAACGACTTGCAGTGCACCGTCATTGCGCCCGATACGTTTCGAGGAGAATCCTCCACGTTTATTCCCAAATGCATCTGGTTGGCACTGAGTACACCCCAGGATCGCGTCAATGCCGATTTGGACGATGTCCTGCAGTGGTACACAGCTACAACAGCAACAACTGAAGAGTCGAAAGACGGTAGTACTCTGAGTCTAGCAGTCATGGGATTTTGCTACGGTGGAGGCAAAGCCATTCGCTACACCACCCACTGTCAACCTAGCGCCGCAACTGTCGTTTGCTACGGATCTCCCTTGACCGATGTCGATGCTCTGAAACGTTTGAAAAAGCCCGTCTGTGGAATTTTTGGACAAGACGATCTCCAGTTTCCACCACCCGTGATACAAGCCTTTGAGCGTGCTCTGCAAGAGGCACAATTACAAGATGACTCTACAATCACGGTATACCCCAACGTAGGTCATGCGTTTTGGAAAGATATGCAACAGATTGAACAGAAACAAGAACCACAAATCTCGGCCTACCAACAAGTGGTGGGATTCTTGAAGGAACACTTGTAGAAATATATAGCTAAACGACGGAAACTATACTGTGCACGCCGATCGAGTCACAACAACACAGTCACTCGAGATTCTTCCGACAAACGTCTCTCCGACAATCAAACCGGCGTGCCACCATACTCAAAAGTTGCCGTTCCAAGGGTACGGGATTCATGCATTCATGCTGGACTAGTTAGCATGATCGTGCTCTTTCTTAACATTTGCTTGGCGACTTCGTACGTTGCACAGGTGCTTGTCCCAAAATCGGTAACACAATCAAGATTAGCGCGACTGTGCATCCGTCCACACCAAAGGTCGACAGTATAGGCGCTACAGGACCCAGTAGCCAAAAACCAATTTTGAATCCAAATGATTCGTATACTTGACGCAACAAAACCCTGGAAAATAATCAGTGGAGCATGCCGGGATGGTAGGTGGCGGGGTTGGTTGGTTCGGGGTAGGACGGAAGGCGACTCGGATGAATTCTTTGTTGGCCTCTTGCTCAGACTTGTGGAAGGCATATCAGATGGGCTGATGCTGAGTCTTGGGGATAGAATTCCAGAAGGGCTGATAGAGGGCAAGGTTGATGGAGACAGCGTGGGTGGTCATTTTTTGCATACATAGTAAGGGTGTCCTGTATCAAGGTTGTTGAAGCGATAGGTGAAAGTTGCTGCACCGTTCACATAACATATCCTATTTGGAATGCTCCCACCTGCATACTCTGTCGTAGCTGCCCAGGTAATGTATGTACATGTAGCTGCATCATATGTGGCAACACAGGCATTGTAGCACTCTGTAGCGAGTTGTGGAGGTTGACACCAACCACTGTGACCATATCGCCAAATTGGTACTTAATGCAACACAAGCCAGAGAAAAAACTGGTTGAACAGGCAGCCCATACATCTGATGTTGGCTGAGATGTGGGGGGTTGAGATGGAGCGATTGAAGGGTAGAGGATGGCAATGAGGAAGGCACAATAGATGGGCTACTGCTGGGACTGCTCGATGGGAACTTCGATGGACGCATGCTAGGTGATGTCGAGGGAACATTTGATGGCCTTGATGATGGGGATACGGAAGGAATCATAGAAGGACTAGAGCTTGGGTCTGTGGAAGGGAAAGAAGAAGGGCTGATACTGGGGTTTGACGAGGGCATGTCTGAGGGGCTGACACTTGGAAACATGGATGGTCCAACAGATGGGCTGCTCGAAGGGGACATAGATGGACTTGTGCTGGGATTATTTGAGGGAACATCTGATGGACTGATGCTAGGGAGATTGGATGGAACATCTGATGGACTGTTGCTTGGGCTTGTGGATGGCTGATCGGAAGGGCCCATTGAAGGAATCTCTGATGGACTGCTGCTTGGGAGAGTGGATGGAATCATGCTGGGGTTGCTAGATGGGATATCTGAAGGACTGACGCTGGGTGTCATCGAGGGGGCAAGAGAGGGGTTAAGCTTGGATCCAAAGATGGCGTCAGTGATGGTTGGACAGAAGGAACATCTGATGGACTGTGCTAGGGTGCTCGGATGGAACATCTGATGGACTGTAGCTTGGGAGTAATGATGGCTGATTGGAAGGGCCCAGTGAAGGCATATCTGATGGACTGCTGCTTGGGAGTGTGGATGGAATTATGCTGGGGTCACTAGATGGAATATCAGAAGGCAGGCTGGATGGGTGGCTGCTTGGGGCATCGGATGGCGCAATTGATGGCACAGTTGAAGGGTTGATTGAAGGTGATGAAGATGGGCTGATACTAGGCACAGTGCTAAGACTTGGGCTCTCAGATGGAATTTCTGATGGGCTAGTTGATACTGTTGGACTTCCGGTTGGATTTCCTGGAGTGACGGAGGGCAGCGAAGAAGGCAAAGATGTTGGGGTTCTTGAGGGGTTTGAGGAAGGATTGGAGGAAGGGCTGGCTCGTGGTGATGAGGATGGGTTGTTGCTTGGTGCATTGCTTAGGCTTGGGCTCTCAGATGGAATTTCAGATGGGCTAGTTGATGCTGTTGGACTTTCGGTTGGAGTTCCTGGAGTGGCAGAGGGCAGTGACGAAGGCAAAGATATTGGTGTTCTTGAGGGGTTGAGGAAGGGCTGGCTTTTGGTGATGATGATGGGTTGTTGCTTGTGCATTGCTACGCTTGGGCCCTCAGATGGTCTTAGTGATGGAGAACTAGAAAGCGTAGGACCGGTAGTGGGATTCCCTGGGGTGACAGTAGGTGGTGAGGAAGGGGAAGAAGTTGGGTACCCCGAGGGACCAACAGAGGGACTCAAGCTTGGACTAGCTGATAAGGTGCCACTTGGTAAAGCAGATGGATTGGTTACTTCTGATGGGTCTACTGATGGGCTTCCAGATGGATTAGTGGATGGTATCGAAGTTGTAGGGCTTGCAGAAGGAGAACCTGGAGCTATTGTTGGTGAAGCTGAGGGTGATGCTGTAGGGAGCGTTGTGGGATTGTTGGATGGACTGTATGAGGGGTTGTTTGATTCCATGCTACTTGGAGCTAATGATGGCATTGTTGATGGCACTTGAGAAGGTATTCCTGAAGGATCTGTTGAGGGAATTGCTGATGGGATTCCAGATGGTGCTGATGAAGGATATGCATTTCTGGGATCGATGGTGGGGTTTCCAGGTGTGGCAGTTGGTCTTGAGGATGGGGCAGATGTTGACTTGTTAGAAGCACTGCTTGAAGGTTGCTCTGAAGGAAAGTCACTGATGTAGGCTGTTGGCAGCGTGGATGGCACATCGGAGGCTTGCTGCGAAGGCCTTATGGATGGCACGGTAGATTGATTGGCAAGGGCTACTGAATTTGCTGTAACTCCAGCTGTGTTGAGAGAATTGGTGTACTGTTCTAGGAACAATGTCTCTTGGTCAGCCACAATGAGAGTGTTTCCTTGAGCTTGGGTGGCTGTTATGGTGAACCCGACCAATGAATTCTGAAGCTTTCTTCCACCCCAAAGCTGGTTGGCGTGTGCTCTGAGACTGGCGGCATTGATCTCAGGTCTGCTCGACACAACAATGCTCTCTATTGCTGGTGAACAGGAGCTACCTTCATTTACAGCACTGAATGCTGCCCTAAAGGCAACAGTCAATGCTGTATCTTCCACCAAGGCAACATCTCCAGCAAAATCAATGGCGTATGTGGATTCCACTGACACAAATGCGGATTCGCATTCAGTTGGGGATACGCTGGGTGACAGACTGAATATATCACTTGGGGATGAGCTTGGTAGCGGTGATGCTTTGCTAGGTGAGGTACTTGGTGGTATTGTGCTTTCACGAGCACTGGGATTGGTGCTTGGAGCCACACTTGGTACTTCTGATGAACTGGGGAAGTCACTTGGTAATGCGCGGTCACCTCCACTGGGGGTTGAGCTTGGAGTCATACTTGGTACTGACGAGTCACTTTGGAGGCCACTTGGCATGCCACTAGGCTGTTTGAAGCCTCCAATACTTGGAAGGTGACTTGGTGAGGCACTTGGAATAGCACTCTCTCCTTTACTGGGGGTTGCACTAGGTGCATTGAACAAGTTCTTTGAGGGTACACTGCTATTGGGCCATTCTGTCCGGATATTTGTTGTTGGAAGAAACGAGGTTTCATCAGTGTTAGTCAGAGTTGGTGTATTGGTAGGAGCAGCAGTAGGTTCACTGGTTGGGGTGATAGTGGGATCATCAGTCGGGGAGATAGTAGGTTCATCAGTCGGGGAGATAGTAGGTTCATTTGTACGAAAGATAGTAGGTTCATTCGTTGTGGTGAGAGTAGGTCCAGTAGAGGCTGAGACGGAAGTGTCGTCAGCAGCGGAGGAAAGCGTTGGTCCACCATTAGGAAGAAGAGTTGGGATGCTCGTTGGGGAGAAAACTCTTGTCGGTACAGAAGGTGGTACATTGCCTGGCAAAGCTACCACTGACGGGCTGTTCATTGGAGTTTGTGGATCTACAGGCGTGTCCAAGGAAGGAAGCTTTGTCACTGGGCTTGAAGAGGATTGTAGAGAAGCTTCAACTGGAAAAACAGCAGCATTCACTCCTGAAGAGGGGATGTTGTTGGATGGATTTGACGTAAGACTGCCAGTAGCTGCATATGGTGAGACATTTGTAGGACTCAGAGGTGCACTTGGTGGGAGTAAGGCGGGATGCTCTGTGGTCACAGTTGGACCTCCATTGCCAGCCCAAGTGGCGACGCTTCCAGGCGATAAAGTAGGGCTCCCCCCAGCTGCGGCAGAAAGGGCTTCTAAACTAGGCATAGTGCTTGTTGGACGCACAGATGGAGCTACAGCCAGATTGCTGGTAGGACTTCCAGGCAGCACTGTTGGGTTTCGGCTGGTTGGAGAAGATCTTGGGCTGCCTGCTGCTACGGTCGGTACCGATGTTGATGGGCTTGCGGAAGGCCTCCCGGGAGTTACTGTTGGAGCACTAGTAGTTGGACGACTGCTGGGGCTCCCTGGCAGTACTGTTGGGTTCCCACTGGTTGGAGACGAGCTTGGGTTTCCGGCTGTCACTGTCGGCAGATATGTCGATGGGCTTGCGGAAGGGCTCCCAGGGGATACTGTTGGAGCCGCATTAATGGGGTTACTGCTGGGGCTTCCAGGCAGCACTGTTGGGTTCCCACTGGTTGGAGAAGAGCTTGGATTGCCTGCCGCTATGGCCGGCACCAATGTTGATGGGCTTGCTGAAGGCCTCCCGGGAGTTACTGTTGGAGCACTAGTAGTTGGCGTACTGCTTGGATTGCCAGCTGCTACTCCTATAGCTGTTGATGGGCTAACTGATGGACTTCCTGGGGTTACACTTGGAGTTTCAGCGGCGCGTTCGATGGCAGGGTTCATCTCTGGAGCAAGAGTAGAGGGTGAACCCGGGGTGTCTGCATCCGCCATGGACACTGAATCAAAACCAGGAGTGTTCAATTCATTCTCACTCTGAATTTCTGTAACAGTTTCGCTGATAGTCACAGTCCCAACACGTCCAGCATCTTCCCCATCACTCGCATTACCACTATCTGCACTGTCATCGCCACGCTGTCCTCCAACTCCAGATTCCAAAGCTTTTTCTGAGGACTCAATGACATCTGGCAATATCTCCTGACAATCATTGGAGTTTGGGCTTTCCAAGCAAGTCCCCAGAGTCTCCACATCAACACCAGTCTCATCAAGGACACTCCTGCAGAAATCAGATAATTCCTTCCCTGCTGAAGCTTCTTCAACACACTCTTCTATCGTTGACAGCTCTGTGTTGACAAAAGGTGTTTGGATGGTACCATTGTTTGCTTCTACCAACTGCAAGGCTTGCTCAATAGTGGCACCTCCAATTTCATTGATAGGCTGAGCTGCCTCATCAATCTCTCCATCTTGGGTTACAGCTCGAGTCGTCCCAAAGATGACGGAAGACTGAAAACCATCATCATCAGTGCTATTGACACCTACAATGATGAGGTCGAGGTTTTGTGCATCCTTCTTTAAAGTGCTGTCGATGTTGTATCCAAAGGAAGCAGCAAAAAGAGGGAAGAACTCTGCCATGTCAAAGTTTCGAGTCCCAAAGATGTTCTTCAATTTTCGTTGCAGGTAGACATGCCGGAACTCTGTGAGGCTGCAAGTAAGTTCTAGCCTTCGTCTTCCCCTGCTAGTGGAATCTGGCTCACTTGGGAGTTCAAATAGGGGTTCATGATCGGGGCAACCAACACAGCCAACATGTGCCATCCAGGTGGTTGTGGTGATGCTGCTGGCTACCAATTGCCTGTATTCTGCCACAGAGGTGTTTGTACGGTAGAGCCATTCAGCAAGCGGGTCAAGCTTCGTCGTAGTAGGAAGAGGTTGATTGGGATTCATTGTGTAGTTGGCATCGTCTGTGCTGGTGCCTAGAAGGGTGCTGTCATTGGTAGGGTTTGTAGATTGGTCAGTGCTGTTCATGCCCTTTTGATTTTTGTCGATGTCGAAGGCGCCAGCCATTTGTGTATCATCCATGAGCAGCTCTTCATCTCCTAGATCACCAAAGTAACCTGGGAGGAATATGCTGTGGGTTTTGTTAGTAGAAAAGTTGCCCCAATCAGTTTCCCAATCAATGACCTCAGCAAAGTGTAAGACACGGTAATACTGATCCAAACACATTCCCTGCAAAGAGCAAAGGGGGGACATCAGAAAAGATATATGCAGAGGTCTCTCCACCGAAGGCACGATCGATATTGACTTACGGTAATTTCGTTGTAGATATCTCGAAAGAGAATCTCCAATAGCTTCTTCTTTTGAGGATCAAAGAAGGCATCGGGAGGCATTCCCATGATTTTAAGCTCCAGAAATCCAACCTTCAACTGTGACTGTTCTGAACACACAGGTGGCACAAACTCATCAATGATTGGGGGACCGGGGAAAGTGAAGGTGATGGGGCTGGGGCCAGAGAAGCAACTCCACCGGATACTGCTGCTGCTGTTACTGCCGCTGCGTAGTATCAATGCATGGATAAGTGTTGCATGTCCAAAGGGTTTGCCTATGAGAATTTGGGAAGGCTTCAACGACGACATGTAGGGCTATGAACGACTTACCCAATCCCACGGCAACCCCTGCCTGTACTGCTGCTCCTGCACTGGCAGCTGCTCCTGCCATTCCAGCTACACTGGATAGACCTGTCGCATCGCATCGAAAGGACGCGGTAAGTGTACGTGATTCCGCCAAAGGCAGCGACATTAATGCTACGATGCCGTTATCTGATCGAGCGTACCTGCTGCTGCTCCCGCCGCACCGGCACTGGCCGCTCCCGAGGCCGATGCACCAGCAGCTCCTTGTGCCTGGAAATTGTATGCAAACGGATAAATACACGGGTTAGGATAAGGAGACACAGATCCCATTCCCAAAACGCTATAGCAGATCGACGTACAGCAGAAGTCGCCATTTCTGCCACACATGGAGGAGGACCAGCCGGTCCGCCAGGGGCCGTTGGGGCGGGTCCGGTCATTCCGCCACCGCCACTACCTCCCGGTGTAACAGATTGTACGGATGTCCAGTTTTGAGACAAGAGGTTTGTGGCTCCTGGATCCGCGGCATCCATCAGCTCCTCTGCCAGGTCTTCTGCTCCGCCATTTCCATCACTCTCGCTGTTTCCACGTCCAATCTTCTTGAGGAACCAGTCAGCAGCCTTGGAGATGAATCCCAAGAATCTTTGGAATAGGTCACCTTGAATGTATCCAATCAAGAATCCTAGGAAACCCTGACGAATCGCTTCCTCCCTTGCTTCGTCCGAGTTTCTAGAAGGAATATCAATATTATCGCTTGTTTCGTCAGAATGGATCGACCCGTTCTCCTCGTCATCGTCTTCCTTGCCTTTGCTACCCAACTCTACGTTGTCAGTGCCATCGTCGCTTACGAAACCCAGCTCGGAGTCATTGTCGAATACTACGTCATCAAGACCGTCTGCGTGGTCGTCGGTCCCTTGGCTCTCCATGTCCACCCACGGGCCTTCAGAGTCAACTTGAACGCTATCTGTAGGACTGCTATTGCTGGTGGGCATCATGTTCAAGGTACGGTGGGGAGACCGAATGAAGGGCTGTGAATAAGAAGTGCGCGAAAGTAGTTTGATTTGCGGGTTGCTTTACACGTATATTGCTGTCTGTTGCACGAGTGCATGGAGCGGAGTGAGAGTGGAAGACCGGTCGATCGAGGTTCGAGGTGGTCATCGAAAGCAGAAGGCTCCTGGCCGAAACTGGCAGTTCAACTTCGACATTACATGAGCGCGGTACTGTACTACATGTGATAGCAGCGCTCTGATTGAGTGTTGAATAAGAGGGACTTCTACTCTTGTAATGACTGCAGGTACTAAACTAGTATAGAACAGGTGAGCCGAGCTGTGAGCTTCAACAAAAGGAATGTTTGGAAACGTTTTGCTCTTGTAGATGCCGGTTCACTCAATCTGGGATTTAAAGGACCGTTCTCGATGAACCAAAATGTCCTAGCTAGATGAGCTGCTAGACTGCTAGATGCTAGATGTTATTAGTTGTCACGCAGTTGTTTCGAGCAGAAACGAAGGGAAGACTGGTCGCTCGGATGACCTTGGCACCGAAATGTAATGTCTTCCCGATGGCCCTCTCTGCTAGAGATATCTCATTGAGTGGATCGGTGTTTAGCTAGCTCTGGCTAACGTTGACTACTACATGTAGGTGTTGATTTCAAAGGGGGTTTGTAGGAGGGAAGATATCTATGGATGACAGCGAGTGGCAATAGCTAGCCACTAGATGTTGATAGCTCCAATCTTGATGAGTGACGATCGAGGAGTCATCGGCAGGCCCCCTCTGCAAATTTGGATCTCTGGTACAATACGGCCACGACAGGGGGGTTAGAGTGGGACGGTACGTTTTTTAGATTTCTTACAGACTACAGTGCTGGACCGTCCGACGGTTTTCACTCAGGACAGTGCTGGACCGTCCGACGGTTTTCACTCAGGACAGTGCTGGACCGTCCGACAGTTTTCACTCAGGACAGTGCTGGACCGTCCGACAGTTTTCACTCAGGATTAAAAAAAAACTTGAAATTCCCACGACTGATGACGGTTTAAAACATGCCCTTAAACATGCCCTTAAGTGCCCTTAAATAAACATGCCCTTAAAACATGCCCCTAATGCCTCAAAACATGCCCTTAAGCCTTCATTGAAACACCATAGAATATGCCTTGTCACGAATGAACATGCCCTTAAATAAACATGCCCTTAAATCGGCAACATGCCCTTAAACATGCCCTTAAAATAAACATGCCCTTAAAACATGCCCTTAATGGGAACCAGTCGTGGCAGTCTTTTAAAGCCTGAGCGAAAACCGTCGGACGGTCCTGTGGGGAAACCCAAGCATTGAAATACTGAGTAGAAACTAGCCTCCCAACCCACCAACATTCTTTCTTGCTCTCTCTCGCTCCTCGTTCGACTTCCTGTTGCTTCTTCGTGAACGCGATGCCTCCGTCGCATCGACCATGGCAGAGGCCATTTTTGGCTGCCTTTGGTTGGCAGATGAATTGGCTACTTCTTCCTCGTGGCTGACGACTTCTTGATGCCTGGCCCTCGCTGGCTTCCTTAGATAATCCAACTACTCTAAACCCCGTCTTTACTTCTTGATTAGTCTAGGTCGTCACCGTGGAAGTTAGACCACACTGAGAAATTGTATGCATGGGCCGCCAAGATTGCTATGGATTATCACTACTCGAGTATAGTCTAGTATGCCTTGCGAAATCCAGCAGTGGTATTTAATCTATGGGAATGGAATGTCAACCAAACCACTGGAATGCACAACCTCCCGACCCACGTTATTGCATTTCCAGAGGTCACCAACAAATTGGGGCTCTCCAAAGCAAACGGCACTCGGCAGTGGTCTTCTTGTAACATTCCACAAGCTGACTTCGACATGGGCTTGGCGATGGGAAAGCACCTGAAATATATAGCACACCGGGTCCAAGCATGTTTCATAGGAAACCCATTGAGTACAGTTCTCACCATTCCAATCTTCGTTGCAAGATGATGGTGGTGCCAACTCTGAACCAGTGGTACTAGTATTGCCTACCGAGGTGACTTCCAACAGGTGCCACGGTATTGGCTCACAGGACATCATCATCATGCTGAACGGAAGGGTACCTGCAGGGCATGAGGGGCAGTTCCCAAAGTATTCTCTTGCAAACAAACCCTCAAAAGTGCCATTTACAACAGTCTCCCCATCCATGAGGAGTGCATATTGTCCGGGAGCCTGCAGGCCGCGTCCCTTCCGATTGCGAATTGAGAACACAAAACAAGAATCTGCTGGGACACATGTTTCCTCCAAAATTGTGGCATATGCATATTCTGGAGGGTATGCTTCTTGCTCAAACAAGATCTCGCCTGTATTGTTATTGGCAAGGTTCCATAGCACATCCCCAGGGAACCTGTCAATGGTGATAGAGACACGCAAAAGAGACATGTCACTGGGACACAATTTCCTCCCGGCTACTGAGTAAATACTGGTGACACCCCCTATCCCGTCTTCTGGAGCTCCTATTGCCAGAGTACTGCCATCAGAAGACATGGAAACCGGGTAATGCAGGAATGGAAATTCATCGCCAACCTCACTCCAATCTTCAGATCCAAAATCCCATTCAAAAACCTTAACCTTGGTGCCGACCCTGAAAGCAATTTTAGATCCATCACTAGAGAGAGCCAAGGCATTATTCCGATGGGGCCTCTCGCTATCAGTGCATTGATTTGATTCCACCACAATCAATGGGGCTCGTTGATCTGACCATTTGTTGTCATCATTGCGCACCCGAACCCGGAGCCGTGCGTCCACGCATCTTGGGAATCCAAAGGCAAGAACAGACCCATCCTGACTTAGTCGAACTGAAAGAGAGTAAATGATGGTGTTGAAATTGGACTCCAGTCGAAACTCATCCTCCACATCATAGGCACGTGCGAACTCATTCCAGAACATGACACTGACATGTTCATCAATCACCACAGGCATGTTTGTGGCAGGGTCAACTCCAGCTAGCTGATTTTGCACAGCAAGTGTGCTACCATCGCCACTCAATGACATAGATAAAAGACTTGTTGTAAAATTTTGCCTCACATTGGTGACATCAGTCCGGAACTCAAATAAGCCTTGTTTTGATTCAAAGACTCGTATCATGGTTGGAGCTTGGTTTGATGTAAGCAAAGATGCCGCCAGCACAGTGCCGTCATAGGAGAGAGTAAAGTCATGTACAAGGATAGTGGAGAATTCCTGTGTCAGTTCACAGCCATCCATGTCACATTTGTAGATGCGTAGAGTTCGAAATGTATCCGTTGTTGCAACTGTAAGTGGAGCTTTGAAGCTTGGGTTACCGACCACATTGAAAGGCCCAGACGAAATGGCCACTCGCAGCCCAAATCTTGAATTGGGTGCTCCCAAGATAGTGTCTCGTAGGACCCAGGAAGATCCAACTTGGTCATAGATGCGTACACGATCCTGCAAAAGTTCTGACACGGCCATTGATCCCATCGAAATTCCCAAGGCAAAACCAGCATAGGAGCCTGCATCGCCTTCAATAGGATGGCTTTGCCACTCATCCTTCGGTAGGTCACAGTAGAAATACCCTGTGCTGACATATCCATCTTTCTCTGCCCCACAAACGTACTGAGAAGTGCTCTCACAGGTCGACTCGCAGCAATCACCACCGTCCATTTTGAACTCTGGAGTATTGAAATTGGGATCACAGTGACCGTTGCGAACTGAAGACAGTGAAAGTAAAAGCATTGAGGGTTGGTAGAGCAGGAGAGTGGATTGTTCACACAAGCAAAAAAAACAACGCAGCCATTGAACTCACCAGGTGGCACTTCACACAGACTTCCAGTGGAGTCAAGGGAGCATTCACATTTCCCATCGACGCAGATCCCATCATAAAGGCAAGGGTTTGATTCAATTGATGATGAATTATCATTGCATACCTGGCAAAGGAACACTGTATCCACCTCTTTGCTTGTTCCCTGGTTCCTGTTGCTTGCCTCTTTTGCTTCTTCAGCAAAATACCAGGTGAAGCCAATTGGAGCACTAGAATCCAAGTGTGTTCCCAACTCCACATAGTCGCTGAGGAAAGCAACAGAGTAGTTGGCAGAGTAGCCCTTGTATCCATGAAAGTGGTGCTTGAAGAAGTTTCCTATGTCAGAACCAACACTTTCTTGACCGTCTCCCAGTAATTTGTCGGGTATCCTTCCACCATGTGGCAGGAACTCGGAGGATGTCAAAGCCCAGCGACCTCCTGTGAACATGACAACATCATAGTCACCAGTGTCGTATTCATAAACATAAACGGGTCGATAGTATGCTTCCACCAATGCACCACTGCCCAGTTCAATGGATTGGAATTCGTCTGACCAATCCCGTGTACTGGCAAAGTCCTCTGTTCGAGCATCAATGGTAATCCAAGAGCAGGGGCTGACAAATTCGCATCGAAGCCCATACCATCCATCTTCACATTGACACACAGCATTGCTGCAGGTTCCTTTCCGACCGCAATCGTCGCTGTTTTCTACATCCTCCTCTTGGCAATCGAAGCAAAACAGGCTGAATGGTTCGAGAACAACTTCTCGTTGTGTGCTATCCCGGACAAACCACTGGCTTGCAGCTGTGTTGAGGAAATCGAATGTGTCAGTTTCAGCGGACCTGGCAACCCATTGGCAGGCATCGTCGCTTGAATCATCGTCATCCTTGTATCCCACCCGAAACGTCCATGCCTTGATGTCATCGCAGTACCCAAAGATTCCTCTCCTCGGAGAATCAATCTCCACCGCCCGTCGCTCCACATACTGTGCACGTCGTTCCAGTCCACCACCCACCAACTGCAAATCGTACATGCCATTGAAGGGTCCCATGGACGGAACAAAGTCATCGCCCATGTTGACCATGATGGTATTGCACACGTACTTGCCCGAGAATCGAAAGCCAATAATGGTAACCCATCCTGCCAGCAACGCCCCAATCAGCATGTGGAACAGGAGCGGCTTCCAGAACCGTTGGAGCCATCCTTGTGCGGCAATAGTTCGCTTGCGTACTTTGAATTCGGCGGCCTTATTGGCCGCCCTCTGCAACTCCCTGCCCACAAATCCCGCCTTGGCAATGTAGAATGCGACATCATCGATATCGGCCATAAAATCGAGTGCGGCAAAATTGAGCATAATGTCTAGTACATTGTCGACTGGCATGATCAAAATGAAGATGCACACAAGTAGAAGAAGACCGGCAATGAGCTGCGCCGTGCACGATAGCAGCCAAGAAAGGTAGGTTGCTCCTGGATATGTTTCCTGTACTTCTGGGTGGAACCCGTCTTTCAATTTGGAGACAACTTCGAGGAGATCAAATTGAAAGGCGACAGCCTGAAAGAGAGCAATGCCTTGAGCAATAGTGACACTCATGTTAACGTTCGGCGGCAGGTTGAGTTTATTGGTTGGACTGGTCCAGTCCACAACGTCAATCAATGTCAGCGAAATGACAGTGATCTGATTTATTTATTTATTTATTTTTGTGTGTGAGAGAGAAAGAAGGGTGGAAAAGGTCACGTGAGTTCGACAAGACAACAACAAAAATCGTCCATCTGCTATCGCGTGCTGCTACAATATTGTATGGTAGTAGACTTACTTGTGTGGCGTAGACGAGAAAGGCATACCAAAATCCCCGACTGTTGAAGCCGGACAAATACAATAGCGAATAAGTGCTTTCACCAAAGGGGGAATGCCACTCGGGGTCGTCCTGTAGAGCTTGTCGTCCTCCCTGTCGTTTTCGACGTCTCCGTTGTGGATTGAGTTGTCTTTGAACTACCTGTTGGTTGTCTTTTTCTGGTTCGTCTTCATCTTCTTCTTGCCAGGAATAGAGTGCCGATTCTTCCACCTGAGATGGTTTACTCAAATCGATTTCCGGTTCTTCTTCTTCATCATCTTTCATCGCTTGAAAGGGTTGGAAACGTTGGCTCATGTCACTCAAGTCAATTTCGGGTTCTTCTTCTTCTTGATGTTGTTGTGAAGCATGCTTCATCATGACAGGTTGGAGAAGGAGTGCCAAATGTTCGAGGTCTTTGGGTGAGAGTGTTTCTATCAGGGAAGATTGTGCTTTTGCTTTTGCCTTCTGTTGCTGTTGATTGGGAGACGGAGTGGTGGCAGAATTTTCAGAGGTCGTGTCGTCGCTGCAGCAGGCATTCTCAATGTCAAAAAAGGCGGTGGAGCCCCTCATGCTGGCGGTCGCGTGGACTTTGTCTTCGCTGGATCGTTGGGTCATGCTTGTCTTGTTTATATTGATGCCTGATGGCTGATGCCTGATCAAGACCAAGAATAATTCAAGGAGAGATGGAGGTGGACTAAATTTGATTTGCTTCTGAAGGGTGGAGGAGTGGCTGAGATATTATGGTTGCTGCTGCTTTATTGTGGATGGCTGATCCAGAGCAAGACTTGGTGATGAGGAGGTCAGCTCACCGGATCCTCGACGAAAAGACTATGAACCCTTTGAATGGGTTCTGTGGCGTCACACGGAAGTAAAGGCCTGATTGCCGAACACGTGAAGAACAGGCTCTGTTGTTGACCACTTGTGTTGCTCCAACGGTTGGATTGGCTGTGTTGGCTGATGTTGCGATGGAGGTCCCCTCGATCCTTTGTTTGATCTCTTGTTGCTTCTATGACGAGGATGCTTCGATGCTTCCCTTGGACTAATACTAGCTAGCACAATTTATAGCAGTGGCTTGATCAACAGTGGTACGATCTTGCTGGCTGTAACTTGGTGTGACTGGTGATGCTGGGGAAATTTGAGGCAGGTTGCCGGAACTGTGTGGTGAAAATAATGATGTTCGGTCTTCTCGGAGGCGACGGGAACAGGTTCTGCTTGTTTGAAAAAAATAGCTGAGCGATCCGGCTACCGTATGATAGACCTGACGTCAGATTTACCGTAATGATACTCTTGCGAACCATTATGTCTTCACGAGGTTTTTTAATTATTAGACCTACCCCCCAAAAAAGGTTCAGCGATGTTAGCGTATTGACGTCTGTCATTTGTCCTTTGTCTGTCTTTGGTCTGTCTGTTGTCCACGCAAACCAGCTCTCACGACTCCACAATTCGTGATCCAAACTGCCTAGAACTCAAAACCTCGATCCACTTGGAGCCAGGGTCTCCACATCTCGAACGAGGAGATCGACAACAGGATCTGAGAAAGGTCTACTCTTATAAGCTTGCTATCCTACGGTATTGGTGAGAGCTCACTCCTGTGCCAGTCAAAGTGGACCAGCCCAAAAAATGAGAAAGCATCGCATTCAGAAGGATCTCATCAAGTCCTGGAAGACCCTCAGTTTTCTGTCTTGCTTTTTGCTACAATTGCTATCATGGAGATCCAACTCTCTCGTTCAGGCGACAAGTAGCAGTGGGGCTGCCATATATACTACTAGTACTGATACGCACCGTCTGATCCAAGGCACTGTATATAAATCAGAGTGGCCAACTACAAGTACTAGCAGAAATCCTGGCGCCAACAAGAGGGTAGATTCCCCAACGCTACCCCTTCAGCTCAGACTACGCGGGGGATCCACTAGCCAAGCACCGTCCAATGACGACGACCAGAAGAAGAAAGATCCCCCAACTCGTGCAAAACCAAACAAGAAGAAGGTCAAGTCTACAAAGAAGAAAACAACCAAAAAGGTCAACAAGCAGGTACCTGCTATGTTCCAGTTGATCCCGGTGCCAAACAATTCTATACACGTGGAAGCACTCCTTGTGGACCGATATCTCAGTTGGAAATGGTTGGCCCGAATTGTACTAACGGCAATCACTGTCTGGCAGCTACAGGCTTGTCAAAACACGGCGGGAATTCCCAAACGAAAAGCCATATGGTCCATTTTGGCGGATGCCAATTTGCTTCTAAAGCAGGATGGTACCACTAGTACCACCACCACTAGTATGCCAGAGTCCTTCCAACCCACAGCCCTGGACTCACTACTCGCCAAAACATTGGCCAGGGCATCCCGCGATATGATCCCACCCGCCGCCATGCCGTTTGCAGGTCCACTCATCAGAACCATCATGGCGGCTCTGGCACTGTTAGTCTTCACGGTCCTCTTGCCGCACTGGTTCCTTCAGGTGCGGGTATGGTACGATTATCAGCAGCAACCAATCCACCAGTATGATGACAATAACCAAATGTCACCGACAGCCGTTCTGATTCGCATCGATACTACAACTTCTGCACGGGCACAGTCCTCCCATAGCCAGACCATTTGCCCGCTCCATCGCACCAACTTGCGCTCGCAAATGGAACACAATCTACCACCCTTTCACTTTGACTATCAACATCGACGATACTACTACGATCCTTCCTCCAACAACAACCAATGCTGGCAAGGTGGACCCAACTGGGAACTACAGTCGGTCGGAGACATTGTATCCAGTGCCACCAAAAGCAACAACAAGTACGTTGGCGTGCTCCAGGCACCGTCACAACTCCTTCACGCCCAAGAACGATGGTACCCCTACAATCATCAAACGTCGGTGCCCATTCCCACTTTGAAACAGGCGCTATGGGAACGTATCCAATCGCCACTGGTCGTGGCACAACTCATTGGCAAGGCCATGACGGTCTTGGAAGAAGGCAAAGCGGCACTCGTGTCGCTTGGCACGACACTCCTGCAACATTACAGCAATGCACGCGCCAGCATTCAGAGTTCCAAACGACTCCAACAAGATGTCGCGGGGTTGGCACAAGAATTCTCACAAACACCCGTTTGGATACTTCGAGCATCTCGTTGGCAGCTCTTGGAAACGAGTGATTTGTTACCGGGAGACCTATTCTGGATATCATCCGCCAACAAGAACAAAAAGAGGAACGTCGTCGTTCCCGTGGATGCCTTGTTGCTCGAGGGAGTGTGCGTCACCATGGAGGCAGTGTTGACGGGAGAAAGTGTTCCCCAAACAAAAATGCCAATCGACGACAACACATCATCCCATCAGTGGAATCAAACATTGGACATGGCAGGAGTCCATCGCAATGCCATTTTGTTTGCCGGGACGACGGTGCTGCATTGCAGCTCCTCGTCGTCTCATTCGTCACCATCAGCACCTCCCAACTTGGAACAGCCAGGCGTGCTATGTCTGGCACTACGAACGGGATCCTATTCCTCCAAGGGAGAGCTCATTGGGGCATTGACATCGTCTCGTTCCAAAAATAACAAGGCAGGATCGATTTCCAATCCACAATTTGACAGGGATGCTTTGAAATTGATTTCCATCATGTCCGTGGTTACCGTCCTGGCATGCTCCAGTTTGTTTTGGGGCACCAGCACCAGGCACAAGGTATCTGGATTTCGAAGGATCATTCAATGTTCTCGGATTGCCACCACGTGTATACCATCGGATCTACCCATGTCTCTCTCCCACGTCGTACGGTCCTGTAAGTGAAGCATGCCACCGTGTTGTTGTTCCCTTGTATGTATATGAGTGAGTGCATGGCAACAATAATCCTCACGAATCGCATCGTATTGAACTGTTTTGCCACCACGTCTGTATGTACGGTATGCCTGCAGGTGCCCATGTTTTGCGCCAAGAAGCCGACGTTGTTTGCTCCCAACCTGGCGCCCTTTTGACGGCATCACAAATCGATTTGGTGGTGTTTGATAAGGTAAGTGAAACACACGACCGTGTTGTTCTTCCCTTGTACCAGTGACCAGTGCATGACCAGCAACATAATCCTCACCATTCAAATGATAAGACCGGTACGCTTACGGCGGATACTCAAGCACTATCACAGGTGATCACCTTGCCCAACGCGACCAAATCTGCCACGGACACGAAAAATAAAAGCAAGAAAGGGCAGAATGTGACAAAAAGTGACAATTCACTCAATGAAATGGCCAATCTAGTTCTGGCAGGCTGCCATTCCTTGGTTCAGGTGGACGGTGACGAAAGCTCTGATGAAAGCAATGAACGATCCATGGTTGGCGACCCGTTGGAATTGGCAGCCCTTCGTTTCTCCGGATGGGAGTATCACGAAGCTGGCGGCTACTACCAACCAGCGTCAAGTTCCTCGACTGGAAAGAAAACTGTTGAGAAGTTGTGGCAGCTGAAAGTGTTTCCATTCAGTCCTGCTAGCCGGCTTTCGTCAGCTGTCTGCCTCGTTCAGAACAGCAATGGCGAATACAAACTGTGGACCCTCATCAAAGGTGCCCCGGAAGCAGTAGAACCTTTGATTGATCAAGAGAAACACAGCAATATATCATTCGCTTCCTGGTATGAACGGAAGGTGCTACAACTAGAAGCCAAAGGCATCAGGGCGATTGCCATGGCGGGCAAGGAGCTCGCAATACCGGACCACCTATCGAACGGAACCGATGCGTCGGAATCTGGCTTGCTAGACCGTGCCCGAAGTTTTGCCGATTCCATTCACCGAAACGATGTGGAAGAGTTGAAAGGCTCCTCCTCATTTTTGGGCCTTGCTTGCTTCAATGCACAGACACGGCCGTCGTCAAAGCGAGTCTTGGGAGAGCTTGCGGCTGGAAACATTCATTCTGTAATGCTTACTGGGGACTCGATGGCTGCAGCACTTGCTGTTGCCAGAAAGGTTGGGATGCTACATGAACATGCAAAACTTGCGGCTCTGGAGGTGGCGCCATCGTCAACGACCACTGCACCGGAATTGCACTTTAGGATAACCACGACAAAACAGTCGCAAAATAAGGGGAAGGTGACGCGTTTGACCTCGAAGGTTATCAGCGACGTCCTGGGTGGGACAAAGAAAGGGGAAATTCAATTGGCGGCGTCGGGTGCAGCTATTATGGCTCTATTGAGCAAGAAAGGACAAAATCAGGAATGTGATTCCTTGATTGAAAGCTTGAGTCATTTCTCGGTTGTGGCACGAGCTTCGCCTGATTGTAAAGAAAAGTTTGTGGCATCATTATCCGGGAGGAGGGTCCTTATGTGTGGCGATGGTGTCAATGATGTTTCGGCCATGAAAGAAGCGGAAGTTTCCGTCGCTTTGCTGAATGGTTTTGGAACAGAGTCGGAGCGACCGAACAAAAAGGAAATTGACATTGAGGACAATCGGCGCAAGCAGCGACTGAAAGCCAAACGCTTGGCCAAACAGGGATTATCAAATGGCTCATCAGCACTCGACGCACAAGGCATTGGGTCGTCTAAAACTGCCTCCAGCGCAAGGATACAAACACGAATTGAGGAAGCTCAGCTGGAGATAACCAAACGAGCAATCCAGAGACAAATGGACAATGGAACCCTGACTTCGGGCCAACCAGCGTATAGTTTTGGGGACCTTAGGGACATGCTTGCATCGATCTGGGAGGCCGGAGCGGAAGAAAGACGGCGTGCGAAGAAGCTAAAGCAAGGTGGTGGAGAGGCGGCGTCAATCTTAGCAGAGGAAGACATCCTCATACGACAAGAATCTACAAGCGATGGAAACATGACTCTCCAAACCGCTGACATCAAACCTGGAGAGGCATGCATGGCTAGTCCATTCTCTTGCCTGCGCAGCTCCATTGATGGCGTAGAAGCAGTGTAAGTTCCTTGATTTGGTTTTGGACACAAAAATGCGTCGCAACCCTCACTCACCATCTTGTAACCCTTTATGTAGAATCCGAGCAGGAATCGCTACTGCAGCTTGCGCCCTCTCTGTGCAACAGAAGATCACGTTGCATTCGTTGATATCTTGTTTCAACCTGAGTGCGTTGTTTCGGGATGGATTTCGGTACGGAATGAATATGTCCTTTGTGGATATGATTCTGTACACGTTCCTGTAAGTGCGCCCGGTAGGATCCGATTATAGCAAGTGCTTTCACTTGCGAGTGGGTGGCTCACAGTTAGTTGTATCGACTGTTACAGGGATTTTGCCAGCTATCAAGAATCGTGTAAAATGCGCCCGCGGCTGCCTCGATCCAAGCGGCCTTCCACACAGTCACTCTTTGCTCCGGCGAACTTCTTTTCTGTGGTTGGTCAAGTATTTGTCCACCTGCTTTCGACCGAGATGGGGATCTTGTTTGCGCGAAAGCTGGAAGACGAGTCGGCAAACGACGCTGCCGTCCCTAGAGTTTTGATCCGTGCTGTGGGATCGCAGTCGCCTCGAGTGGCAGCCTGGACCAATGCGATGGCAAAGTCAGCTGCGTCTGGTTATTCCGACCAACAGGGGAAGAAGAATTTTCTTGGAATGACAAAATTTGTTCCAAACTACGAAACAAATGTCGTATGTAAGTTTGCTTGAGTGGCGACTGTGAGTGGCTTCTGTTTGTCGAACCTGCTCTGACAGGGTAAATCTGCCCCCCCTTTTCTGCCCTTTGCTAGTTGTTCTTTCGATCATACAGACTATTGTAACTACATTACTGATGCACAAGGGTGATCCCTTCTACTTGAGCATTTTGGAGAGTCAGAACCTTTGCTTTTTTGCAGGGTTGTCCGGGATCGTTGTGGTCGCCAGCATTTTGGATAGCTTTCCCCAGTTGAACCAAATACTTGAGCTCCGTCCCTGGAAGTCAAAGAAGGCAAAATTTTGCGTTCTCGGTCTCGCTCTTGCTGATACGATTGCTTGTTCAGGGATTGAATACATGAGTCGACACATTTTCCAGAAGACCCTCTCCATGAAAAAGCCATACCAATCAACCGCACCAACCAAAATCCGAGCAGCCAAAACCGCCGCTAATCTAGAAGAAGACGCACTTCGTGAAGAAACAAGAAAGAATCTTCGGGTACTTCTAATATGCACCATTGTCATGCTGACGATGACGCTTGGTGCGGCCATTGGATAGAGGATACCGTACCGGTAGAGAAGGTAAAGGAGCAAGGGTTCCGCGTTTTAAAAAATGAGTGTTCGAACCAAGCCAAGTGTGACTGGCAGGCTCTTGCATCGACAGGTGACTCCCACCGTGTTTGGGTTTGCTAATAAATCTGGTGTGGGCGTTGGATCCAAACTTTTGATGCGTGAGTTGCGCTGCTCCATGGTGCCAGTGCCAAGAGTGTTAGTTTATCAAGCTGTCACTTTATGGCTATCAACAGAGCTCTCCCAACTACATATCCTCTTCTATCAGCACCTTCTCTTTTCGAAGCCACTATAGTCATGACATTACCGGGCGCGAGCAAAGGCACAAAGCATGGCAATGGGTTACGAATACCGACGACCGGTTGGCTGTTCATTTCGTTTCTTGCCTTTCATGCCGGTCGCTACTGGAGTGTGAGTGGGGAGTACCGCTGCAGTCGCAGCATGTCGCTTTTGCGATCTGTTTCAGACTATTATTCATCTCGAGACCAACGAGTCATGCAGGTCGTGGAAACACCGCCAAGCACAAGCTCACAAGAAGAACAACCACTGGTTCCTAGTAGAAACAATGACGGCTGGCATTCTATAGACGTGTTTTATGGCAACGTTTCCCATTTGGACGCGCGATCTCCTCCCCCCGCATTTCACGGAAGAACCCCGGCTGCCATTCAAGAATGGTACGGTCAGGCTCAACAAGATCGAATCGTCTACGAATTGCTCAACAAGAAGAAGCGGGGCTACTTTTTGGATCTGGCGGCGAACGACGCCAGAACATACAGCAACACGTTTGCACTGGAGCGACATCACAATTGGACGGGACTTTGCTTTGAACCGAATCCGCAATATTGGCACGATTTGTCCTATCGCAGCTGTCAAGTAGTTGCTGCCGTGGTGGGTCGTCATCGCATGGAAGAAGTCAAGTTCCGATTCCAAACGGGAGTACTGGGTGGCATTGTGGATGACCGCTTCGACGTCAAAACCACAAATGACGAGAAGCTTTATCCAAATGAACCGCCGACCCTCAAGTACACGGTTCCCCTGCTGGAGATTCTGCAGCGCTACAAAGCTCCAAGAATTATTGACTACCTGAGCTTGGACGTGGAAGGAGCCGAGGAATACATTATGGAGATATTCCCATTGGAGGACTATCAAGTCCATGTCATGACAATTGAACGACCCAGCGAAAGATTGCAAACCTTTTTGAAGCAGCATGGATTCGGCATGGTTCAAAAAATCACACGATGGGGTGAGACTTTGTGGGCGCACGAATCCTTCCTGCGAGCGCAACGGCAACAAGAACAGAAGCGACAGTAATGGCTAGCTAGCTAGTAGGATGGGTGAATATCGATAGAGCATGCCACGTACTGCGAATTCAGATTCGATACTGTTGTTTGCGTTGTACCAATATAGCTTGTAGCATTCGTCCTCGACGACTTTTTCCGTGGTCACTCCAACTGGAATTACATCACTGAAATTGTACATCCGTGCTCCTCCTGGAATGGGAAAGACTTTGAAGGTGCACCTTCTATTAAGCTTCAGACTTGGATTTGCTCAGCCCGAGTTGAACTGCCGATGCAACACTATGTCTCTTCAAGACTTAGCGGCCGTCGGCGATTGTTTATGCTTGTGGGCATGATTGATTGTGTTCGTGCAACTGCCCTGAACATGTGGTTTAGCTATTACTCTATTGGGCAACAACCAGCTGCAGCCGTCAGGTAGGCAATACCGTCGGCATGCCAACAAGAAGTTCCTGGTTCTTTCTCATCAATTCCATGCAGTGACTCCTTGACAAAATGAGGACAAACTACTTGTTTGTGCTCCTTGTGGTCAATGCACAAGCTTTCTGCTTCCGCCGACGGACCAACGAGGAATCTGCAGGTCGAGATGATGGCATCTTGAGGCGCAGCCTCTTCTTTTTAAACTGTGGTGATAATGATGGTGAAGACAATTCTGAGAACACTCCCCCAACTGCCGCACCAACCGAATCTCCCACTCCTCTCCCAACAGAATCTCCGACTCTTTTCCCAACAGATCCTCCCATAGATCCTTGGGCTTCTTGTGTCAATGGCTCCCCTCACCATGACAAACCCATTTTCAAGGACTTTACGCCATGCCGAAGCGCACAGGGCTGCCCCATAGAAAGTGAATGCTGTATCCAGACGTACTGTGTCTGTTTTGAGCCTGACAACCGGGGCGTTGAATGTGTTCCAAACAGAGACATTCGATCAACTGTTCAACCTGTTGCACTTCAAGGAGGTGCAGAGTGGGCAGACCCTGAGAGCTACCAAGCAAAAGCCATTGCATGGCTCAGAAACGATCCTTTCTCAGCTTCTCTATCTGATACTCGAATCCAACAAAGATATGCTCTGGCATGCATTTATTATGCAACGTATGCCATTGCTAACATCTATACTGTTGTGGAACCTCGGGGGTGGATTGATCCGACTGGGTGGATCAGCAATATTGATGAGTGTACTTGGTTTGGGATCACATGTAATGCAAACTCAGAGGTGGAGAAGATTGTGTTGGTAAGCCTGCTTTCTCATGCAAAAAAAATTCTAAGCTATTCTGTAAACATCACATACTCATCATGTTGTCATGTTGTCATTTGTGGTACATTTACAGGCTTCCAATCGCATCACAGGAACATTCCCTCCAGAAACCACAATCATGGCATCATCCCTCACTTACATTGACCTATTCAGGAACTCTGTCTATAACAGCGGGGATGCTGGTAATGCATGGTTGGGACGGCTTACAAACCTGAGAAAACTCTTCTATGGACAGACAAACTTTGAGTACAAGAATGGAATCCCAACTCAGATTTCTCAGCTGACCAACCTAGAAGAATATGATTGTTCCTTCACTCGATACTCTGGCCCTCTTGTTGGCTCCACTTTTTCACCACTTCAAAACCTTGGTAAGATCTTCAGATGGCTGACAATTGAGTTTTGTACTGCTGACTGTAGCTGACTTGTCTGCAGAATACCTCGTGTTGAGTGGAAATGCCTACAACACTTCCATCCCTGTTGAAATTGGCAATCTTTCAAACCTTAGTAAGTCAAACAGCACCCACAATCCTACTGATTCACAGCCTCCATTGATGTCTTTTGGTGCTTTTCCATTGTAGAGTTTTTGTATGTCCAGAATGCTTCCATAGCTGGTGACTTGTCCTTCATGGAGCCAATGCAATCTATTAGTAAGGATTTCCCAAACTTGAAGTTGCAATGACTTCACGAGGAACACAATCTCACTTCATTTACCTGGTGCTTGCACTTGTATAGTTGAATGCTGGGTTGATCAGAATCCACGGTTGGGTGGGCCTATTCCAACAACGATTGGCAACGTTCAAACTCTTCGTAAGCCATCAATGTGAGTTGCTGTTTACTTGACTATGCACATATTTTTCACCAATTTCTGTGCTCCACAGAGAGTTTGTCAATCACCACGTGTGGATTGGATGGTCCTATCCCTTCTGAGCTAGGAGATCTCAGGAACATGGGTATGTAAAGTCGAGTCGAGTCTCATAGTTATCAGAATTTGTCGATTTCTACTGATGAGACAGCTCACATCTTCATTCGGCAATTGCAAAGTGAGAATGTGGCTTCATGATAACATGCTTACAGGAACAGTGCCACTTGAACTAGGTAACTTGTTCAAACTGCAGACACTGGCGCTGGAAGAGAACCTCCTTTTGGGTGTGATGCCTGAAGACATCTGTCTTAACCGAGTTCCACTTGGTTTGCTGCAAGTATTGGAGGCTGACTGTGGCGGAGCCACCCCAGAAATCCAATGTGACTGCTGTACTTGCTGCGAAGGCTGCCTATCCACATAGTTGCTGCCTTGCACTTGCTAGCAATGCGCGCAATCTATTCTTGAATCGATCCGATGATTCAATCGTCTAGAAAGAATTTGTACCCTCTCTGCCCTCCTTCTCCGACCACCTTAAAGTGGTTCCGGTATACGACATGGCGGTTTTAAGTTCAATTGTGGCAATGGGGATGAATCGATCCGTATCATGTGGAAATCTCGTGTTGGCTCTAGTTTGTCAATCTGGTACGATAGCGCATAATACCGGTAGGCTATTCAACTGAAAGGCATGATCGTGCAACTGCCTAATTGATAATATCTCGACCAGCAGCTACAATGGCCCAGTCGGGTCGTTGGCGAAAGATATCTCGATACTAGCAATGGTCTAAAAACAAGTCTGGATGAATCAAATCGCGAGCCCCCTCATTTTAAAAAATCCCACGAGCACTAGCATTGAAATTTTCGAGCTCTTCTAGATTCCCTCTCCCGAAAATGAAGACCACCCTCTTGTTTGCGATCTTTGCAGCCAATGCGCATGCATTTTGCTTTGGCGGGCGCCGGACCAAAGAGGAATCTTCTGGCCAAGATGTTGGCATGCTGAGACGCATGGCAGTGGCACTGGTACTGAAGAAGACACTTCTGCTCCCACAACGGAGACTCCATCAACTCCTACAACGGAGGCGCTGCTCCGGTCACTGAAGGTATGTCACAATCCAGAGTTCTTGATTGCTTACGCTTGGCGGAGAAGAGCTTGGTCGCGGTAGACCCAACCAACAAGTCTCTTTTTGTGGTTATCCCCGATGTCACTGTTGCCTCACCCACGAACACACATTTGCATTTGCAGCTCCAAGCACAGCTCCCAATCTTCCCTGGCTTGCGGCCCCAGGAGCAGAAGACTCTACGACTCAGGGTGGACCAGCTTTTGAGGGGGCCAAGGCTTATGTGTCTAACCGCGGGGAGTTGACTACAGCCATTCAAGATCTCGAGGCTGCAGGAGACCAAGTCTATGCTCAGGTCTTCGTTGACTATGGCTATCCTCCAAACAACTGGGATGTATCCCGAGTAGACAGCTTTGATAATCTCTTTGAAAACTACCAGGGGCCTTCTTATGACCTGAGTTCTTGGACCACTTCGCACGTAACCAGTTTCAACAGCGCCTTCAAGTCATCTTCGTTCAATGGCAATATCGGTACCTGGGACATCTCCTCTGGCAACGACTTTCGAAGCATGTTCTCTGGTGCCGGGTTCAATGAAGACATTAGTGGCTGGAACACCAGCAGTGCGATTTACATGCAAAACATGTTTCAAAACAATCTTGCCTTCCAAGGGGACCTCAGCAATTGGGACACCAGAAATGTTCAAGACATGTCCTCTATGTTTGAAGGCTCCAGTATTGTTGGCAACATTGATACTTGGAACGTCTCTAAGGTGGCTTCCTTCTACAGGATGTTTGCATCCACCAACAATTTTACTGGCGACATTGGAGGATGGGAAACATCCAGTGCAACAAGTTTGTCCTATATGTTCAGCGGGGCTCAGCTCTACAATGGTAACATCGGTTCGTGGAACACTAGCGCTGTCGTTGATACTACTGGAATGTTCAAAGGGGCTGCATCGTTCGACAGCGACATTGGGGGCTGGGATATGTCGTCCGTGACCAGCATATCGAGCATGTTTGAAGGCGCACAAGGCTTATTATCCAACCAATCGCTGGATGGAACTTGGACAGCATTGACACTTGGCTGACAAACGTGTTCTCCGGTGCAGGGGCTTTCGCTCAAGATTTGTGTGCTTGGCGAGATCACCTACTTCCAACCCAAGTCCTCAGCAGCAACAACTTTTTCCACGAAACGTCTTGTCCCGACTGGCGGAATCCAGTGAATATGATCACAGGTCCGTTTTGCCACACATGCAGCTAGATGTGCTTGCTGACGCGAACAGTAAAGGCGGTGTTTTGACCACTGATCGATGCTTGGAAACATGGTCACGTTGATCCGCAGTGAGCAAGGCAAAGTCTGCTAATAGCAGTTCTAAAAATTACACGTGTAAACCCCTAGCGCTCCCCCATGCAGTATTATTTCCACCTTTCATTACACCATGTTGTCCAGATCTTCACCATCCGGCTCAGTTGGATCAACAGACTTGTCATCGCCTCCTTCGTCGGCTAGAGGATGCCCGACCGACATTGTCACGCACCCACAAAAGAGGAAGAGACCGGACGCTGTGATGCAAAGGACCCCTCCAACGTCTAGCCAGCACTCGAATTCGGTGCACATTTTGGACTTCAGCGACAGCAAGAGGAGAGAAGCAAGGATGCCCGCAAGGAAATGGAGGAAGCAAAGCATGGTCTCCAATGCTGGCGGCAGCCTCGTGAATAGGGTCATCAGGAGTGAGGCGTTGGCCAACAAACTCAAGGCGAAAGCGAGGGCGCCTCCATAGCGACCAAAGTTCCAAGAGTCGTCGAATGTACTCGCTTGCGCGTCAGTCCACGCAACGCACTTGTGATGGTTGTCAAGGTTTCCATTCAGCTCGTCCGCCGTCTGCCAAAAGCCCACCGAAATACCGCCGACATTCTCATTGAATATCTCCACAAAGTTGCAATCAAAAATTGCGTATCCCAGGAAGGCCGACGCACAGAGCGATAGCGTTGCAGGGAAGAGGACCTGTCGACCGTAGGGAAAGCAAGGCATCGTCTATTTCCAAATATGATGCGATCAGATTGGCAGTGAATGTCAGTTTTTGTGAGACTGACTCGGCCGAAACTGGCAGCAACAGTCGATCTTTGCTCTTCGCAAGGTTCGCTGCATGCGCGAATACTATGAAGTTGTGGTACCATACCAGAACACGGGTGCCCTGCTATAAAGGCCTCCTTAATTAATAGAGGATCTTCCCAAGTCTTGGATTCAGATTTCAGATGGTATGAAACTAGATATTTAAAAAGCGCAAGATCAATGAACGCGAAAGATGACTTGGCCACCCTGGTACGGTACCACCACCCACCACCCATCCCACCGCCCCCACCTACCGTAGCCAGGCGTTTTAAAAAAAAAGAACAACGAAACCAGCTCGGCATCCTTTCTAGCTCGCTTCTGCCAAGGACACAATGACAGCCATCCAGAAAAGATGGGTAGAGCCAAGAGGTGCTACTGTCGCGGTTCCAAAGTTCCAATACTTTGGTCCCCATCGAGCAGTACTCGTACCGGTATGAGGGCACTATATTCAACTGAGTACTCCTTTTGGTTGGCTAGAATAACTCAATTTCCAACGCAAAATATTATCTAACCTTGGCCTAGAGCAACACAAGGGTGCACCACAACATCACAGACGCTGCAGCAAGAAAGGGTTGAGCATTGCTCAGTTCTCCAAGTGCTTGGGTTCTGGCTGAGGCTGGCTCTGCTTGTGGTGCTGATGCTTGTGGTGCTGATTCTTGGTATGATGGTGCGCGGGATTCTTTTGTTGGACATTAGACTTGTTGTCTCCTTCGTGATGCTTTGCTCGTTGATATTTTGCATAGTTGCGGGCATACTGCTTCTTGATGGCATTGACAATGTTTTTCTTCTGCTGATGATTCAGCTTGGTGTTGTTGTGATGCTTAGCAACATAACGAGCATATTCTTTCTTGATTGCATTGATTGCATGTTTTCTCTGCTTGTGATTGAGTTTGGTGAGCTGCTTTGTCTGGTTGTGACCCATATGGTTATGATTCTTGGGCTGGCCAGCTTTGTTTTGAGCTGTATTGGCATGATTTTGATTGGCTTGGGCATGGTTCCTCTTGTGGTGGTGTTCTTTGAGGCCAACACTGTTGTGAGCTGTCTTGAAAAGATTGTGCTGCACTTGGGGTGTCTTGGCTTGACGATGGCTGCCAGGTGGAAGGTTTCTAAATGGGCCAAGCTCAAACCCATCATCACCACCACCGTTGTTGTTCCAAACGTCATCATCCCATGCAAAATCATCTGTTGAAGAGTACAAGTAGGGTATACATGTGAGCTAAGCCACATCATGCAACGCGCAGATGTTCAGTCATACGATGCATACCGCCACCTCCACCAACGTTGTCATCAAATCCTGTATCAACAAAGTGTAGCAGGGAGAAATCAAGCCATGAGGAAACATGACAAACACTGCAGTATTGGCAAGTCAACCTGTAGTCCTCACCTCCTCCAAAGTTATCATCCCCTCCAAAGTTATCATCCCCTCCAAAGTTATCGTCCCCTCCAAAGCTGTCATCTCCTCCAAAGTTATCATCAAATGCTGGGAAGTCGTCGCCATTTCCTGTATCAGCAAATGGGAGCAGGGTGAGAAGGAACAGTAGGAGCACAGAGGACAAGAAAGGCAACATTGGCGACTATTGTCCTCACCGCCTCCAATGTTATCGTCACCTCCAAAGTTGTCATCAAAGTTTGGGAAGTCATCCCCATTTCCTTTTTTATGCAAGGTGGATCAGTGTGAGGAAACACAAAGAAGACAAGGAGAGTTTGAAAAATGGTTTCAAAGTGAGGACTCACCTCCACCAAAGTTGTCATCACCATTTCCTGTAAGTCGTGGAATTGCATGGCAATGACCGAGAAGCATGAGGTAGGATGACAAGAGGACATGGAAATCAGTGACCAGTGTTGCGTACTCACCTCCTCCAAAATTATCATCTACTCCAGAGTTATCATCACCTCCAAAGTTGTCATCAAAGGCTGGGACGTCATCACTCCCTGTATAAACAAAGGCTCAAGGTGTCAGCAATCTGAAGTCGAAGTTTGGGTTTGGGGATGTGTAATAGTCAAAACTTGCACGACTTTCTAACTCACCTCCACCTCCTCCAAAGTTGTCATCAAAGGCTGGGATGTCATCATTACCTTCGATAATGGAGTATAGAAAATGTAGTATTGAGTGAGGACACTGCCATTGCCAGCCATCTTAGCCAGAATTCGAGCACTCACCTCCTCCGCCGCCACCGCCACCACCTGAAAAATCATCATTACCTCCCCCACCACCGCCGCCGCACCACCCCCCGCCACCTCCTCCTCCTCCTCCAAAGAAGTCATCATCAAGGCCACCAAAGCCATCATCTGAACCACCTCCGCCACTGCCCAAATCATTGGGACATTCGCTCTGGTCTACTTGGCCGCAGTTTCCAGGAGGATTTTCCGCATGACAGCAAATCATGCGCTGAATCCAATCGTAGCCGGCAGATACGCGGGCATAGACCCCTAATGCATTCAAGTGATTAGAGAAGAGAATGAGTTAGGGGTGAGGTAGGACGTTGGCATTTCTTGATCCCTTCATCTTTCCGGTACATGCCTGGTTTGTCTGGACGGGCGCAACCATCTCCAAACGATACAACACCAACTTGGGTGTTTCCAGCAAAGATTGGCCCACCGCTGTCTCCCTGACACGAGTCCTTGCCACCACCATCCACACCAGCACACCTGAATTCACAGATTCACTTGGGTCAGGGTAAACATGGTTTCTTTGCTTGCAGGGGCAGTGAAGACTTACATCATTGCATCATTGATTCCACCTCCATACAAGTTATCACAAGTGGACGTCTCAATATAGTTGACAGTCACCTTTCGCAAGCCACTCGAAGCTGAGCCATCTTCGGAAGTGAGACCCAATCCAATAACCTGCAAGGGATCGCCAGCAGAAGGCGTTCCGTCTTGGTCGTTGAGACCAATGGTAGAGGCGCCCAAAACAGGGCTATCTAGTTTCAATACCATCAAATCAAACGAGTTTGATTGGGTGTTGTAGTTTGGATGAACGGTTCCAGAAGCAAGATTGCGGGACTCTTGACTGGGGCCCACTTTGGCAGTGCTCAAACCAACGTTGCAATGCGCTGCCGTCAAGACGACATCCTCCCAGATAAGACTTGCACCACATCCATCTAGGTCCACGAAGAACTTGAACTCGTCAAAGCTGGACGGGTCACCGCCGACAATGCGGCTCGTCTTAAGCTTCCTGGCTTCCTGAGGCCCACGGAGACCTTTGCCGAAGGCAACTTGCAACACTGAGACAGCGGCTGCAAACGAGAGTACATACGAAACACGCATCGTCGTCCTTGCTGAATTGAATCTGATGAGATTATCCTTGTTCTGAAATCTCTAGATCCGAAATAATGAGCCAACTGCATCACATGCCTTGCTGGAATATCCTCGATCTCGACGATTGAATCGAATCATCCGGTCTACCACCACCTAGCTAGCTACCGCTAGCTAGCGGACGATCAGCACAAGCATTCGGCACATGGCATCGTCTGTGCGGGACCTAGTTTTGGGAGCTGTTTTGGTTTATTCCTTCGTTTATAAATAGAAGCTTCGCCTTCTGAGGGCACAAGATCTGAGAGTTAGCCGTGACTGTGAAGACAGAGTAGCAACCTGGTACCTACTTCTTACTTGACCTGGTTGGTGCCTGGGTTGAGGAGACTGGTGTTCTATCCCTTTTTAGATGAAGGTTGTCACGCTTCAATGAAAGACTTAACATTGAAGACTCTAACACTCAAAGCTTACCAACTTTAAACTTGTGCCAGGCTATATCTTTCGCAACCTCCTGCCCATCTCACAATTAATTTACCAGTACAAGCCAAAGGCAAAGGTGGAAGATCGCTGGCTCATGCCTCATGGGGCTGCGCCCTTCGAGTGGGACGCATGTGACGGTGTATTCATGGCACTATTGCGTGAGGGTAGCAACAAACTGGACTTCAACATTATCAGTACAGTGGTGGCAGTATCCACACAGGATACTGTACCTCACCGTAATCTTTTATTCGGTCGTGCAAACCCGGGCCTTGCTGGGTGCAGCCGGCCGTAGGCAAAAGGCATTCAGTTTGGTGTCAGATCACAGATCAAACCCTTGATTGCCTATTTCTGCGTTGCGGCCTGAGATGATGACCGTCTTTCATGTACTGCCAATACATCATCGTAGCTTGAGAGAGCATGGCAGGTCGTGCGAAAACGGCGGAGCAAAAGGACCTTGCCTTTCAATTGCTCTTGTCGACCCAAAATGGAGTGGGATGGATCAAGAATCAAGTTGCTATTTACTTGTACCGGTGGATTTGATCTGGTTGCGTACCACTTCAATCGTGCTCTACGCTCCACTGGTACGGTGCTGGACTGGCTCTTTCAAGTTCACGCCATGAGAACAGATCCAACCCAAGACCTCGCATCTTGACCTAGATGTACCCTGCTTAGGGCTACTAGTACCGGTAGCCTAAAGCACTGCCTTGGCTCGAGAAGGCTCCAAGCTTCCGCCGTCAAGGTCCCACTAGTTGGGAAGCGAATCATGGTTGCTACAAATAGCCTCTCGAGGTGTCACATCGACCAACTTTGGCAAGATCGCCGATAGTGTCAACCAAGAGCCAATCTAGAGCACTGTGGTATGATCACAGCTTTCTACATGTACCGTATGATTGGCATGCCATCGTTTCGCCAATCTGGAGAGACGAATCGCTCCTACGGGTTGAGCAGCCGTGAAACTCAAGTCATTACAGTTGGTGGCTGGATCGAACGCAAAGATTGCCATCCACAATGTCCTCCGGAATCCTTTGTTTGCATGTACCATTGGTTGCACCACAAGCAAGTTCATGTTTAACTAAGAAGTATCTACTTACACATTTGTCCAGTGCAAAGAAGTTTCTAATGATTACATGTTGCTAAGTAAGTATTCTATGGATGGCACATATGGAGGGAGAGGAGGGATCTTTGCAGGCAAGATGAACCAACATGCAAGTGCCTAAGCTCCCTTGGCGTGGATTTGCACAGGAGCTCGAGTCCTTTGTGGCGCTTGGAGGCGGAAGCGATGATGTTGGTCGCAGTCGGTGGAGCCAATCTTGGGCGGCAAGGATACACTGTGTCCCAACATTTTGGCTCGAAAGTCTTCAAAGTAGATGTGTCCATGCCCCGACTTATCCGTCTGACGCATAATCTTGTCAATGGTTCGATCCGAGATGAGACAGTTGCGCGACAGAGCCTCCTTGAGATCGCGTCGTGTGATGTATCCCTTTTCTTCCTTGTCGTAGGTTTGGAACACTTGTTGGAGCTTGACGTCGTCCAAGACCTTTTTCTGGAGCAGACAAGCCCCGACAAACTCGCTGTACATAATAGTATTGGTTCCCGAAAAGTTGACTTGTTCAAAGAGACCATCGACGTCAATGTGTTCCGATGCATCTGGATCGTCCTCCAGCATGACGGCCAAGCAGGCCTGAAGATCCGCTTTGGTAAGCTTCCCGCATCCGGTTTGGTCCAAGGTTTGGAAGGCCCGTGAAATGTCCTTGACTTCCTCGCTGTGCTGAAACTGGGATGCCATCATGGCACATGTGGCTTGCTTGAGGATGCAGCCCTGGGATTGAAACTTTTGCAGATCGACCAAGGACGCTCGAGTGGATGCCCGGCGGTTGTGGTTACGGGCCAGAGCGGAACGACGGTGGCTTTTCAACCAGGGGTGTTGCAAAGCTTCTTCGGCAGTGACTCGTTTCTCTTCATCCTTCTCGAGCAACTTGGCAATAAAGTCGATGGCTTCTTCGCTGACATCGTCCCAGACTTCCTCGTTGAACTGGAGACAACCAGACACCACCGATTGGAGGACTTCTCTGTCGTCCTCTCCGTCAAAGGGAGCATATCCTCCGAGGAGCATGTAGGCAATGATGCCGGCACTCCAGCAGTCCACTTTGGGACCTGAGCTGTGGTCGAGTGTTTCCGGTGCCAGATAATATGCAGTTCCCACAATGTCATTGAACCTAGTATCGCTGTCAAACCGAGCGGCAAGGCCAAAGTCAATGACTTTCATGGTATCGTAATCAGAATCGTGAAGTAAGACATTCTCAAGCTTCAAGTCTCTGTGGGCGAGTCCGTGCTGGTGCATGTAGTTGATGCAGCTGAGCAAGTGTCCCATGAGCACGACCACGTCGTCTTCAGGGAGAGCGCCGCCATCGTACTTTTCCAGTTCGTCCAGCAAGTCTCCGCCCTCGCACAGGTCTGTAATGATGTAGAATGCAGTGTCATCTGGAGGGGGAAAGTGTACAAGAAGCAAGTGAGCAAGCTGATACTACTGTCTCCTTTTGATGAGAGTGTGAGCAGTGAGCAATTGCAAGCCTTACCTTCCAGAACTTCATAGCAGCTCATCATGTTTGGGTGATCCATTTCCTTGAGAATGTGGTATTCCTTGAGCGCTTCCTCGGTGATTTCGTCATTGTCTAGAGTCTTTTCCATGATCTTGCAAGCTCGTTCCGCACCGGTTTCCAAATGAATGCAGGAATGCACGGCACCATATGCTCCTTCTCCCAGGAATCGCCCTAGTCGGTAGTGTTCCCAGAGTCCTGATTTCTCGCCGAGCCGACGGCTGGTAATAAAATCTTTGGCTTGAAACTTGATAGAGGCGTCCATGGTTGAGTGTGATGAATGAGGTTGTGATTCTTTGAATTTTATGAGTGGGAAAAGAAAGGCTGTGATTCTTGACATCAGGATTTCAGCCCCTGCATTCAGCTCGGCTAAACCAAGATAAACCGGTGCCGGTACCGGTCTGCAAGAAGGGAGAAGGAGAAGGATGCGAGCTCCTGTTCCGGACGAGGTTGCATGCCATCACCACTGTGGATGGTATCTTCACTGGATTGCATCCGGTAAGCCGGTAAGTCGACGAAGAAAGAATGCTTGCCTTTGTGGAAGCAGGCTTTACCGCGATGAGTCATTATTTGTACATAAAAACTTATAGTGGAGAGAGAAGTGTCATTCCAGAATGTTCAGGATTCTCTATGCTGCCTTGAAATTTCCTCCTCAAAGCAGGCTTGGCCTCGATTTCAGATTTCAGAGTAGTTGTAACTCGAACAGAAAAGGAATACAAGAGTATTCCAGTGAAATACCAGTGACAATAAGGTCGCTGCCCCAAACATTGCGGATGAGCGAATCTTATCTAAGTACAGAAAACATAGTTTCTCTTTTGACGTCTTTGGAGTTCTTTTAATCATCGCTAGAAATGACCCGAGAACAAGGCCTTCAAAGCGAGACTTCTGAATTCTGAAGTGGGGGACGCACCTTTCAGCTAGCTCTCAGACGCCAACAATAGTCTACTTTCTCCAGCCAAACCAGTTGCGTTGGGTCGCTATCAGAAGAAACAATACATGTAGTTGTTGGATGTGCAAAGACCTACTACTGTATCCCGTTTTCAAGGTTTGGAGTTTGGAGCAGCCTGAAGAGCACCAACTTGATGTGTCCAAGAGCAAAAGGAATGCCACTCTGATGAGACCATCTCACCTCTAGCTTCTATCGAGCGTCAGTCGATCCACCACTGTAGCTACCGGTACATAGAAAGTATCCAAACAACGCACGGTTTCGTCGGCATTGGCACCAGTACCGAGGACCGCCAAGGTAAACCCATACCAGTATCCACTTTCCAAATATAATCCTGTCCATGTTGACCTGAAGCTCACCAACAGGCGGAAGCTTTGACTGGAGTAAAAGCAACTTTCACAGCTCCTCAGCTATCGATCTACATTGCCCCTTATGGATGCCAGTACAGGGGACATGTTAGGTATCATCAAGAGGAAACTGTAGAGCATTGCTCAAGCTTGTAGGCTGGGCGCATGTGCCTGCGAGAGAGCCACTTTTGACTTGTGGTTTCGTAGGACCCGCTTCCAGTTCCTTGCATCGATATCGTGTGAAAGTCTGGAACTTCACTTCTCTGTCTGCTTCCAGGAACTGATCACTTCCTTCTTTCGATCCAGTCCTTGCTTCCAGTCAAGCTACCCGAGGTGCTAAACAAGCCTTAGTCAGGCTTGACGGCCAATGACCTCGACATCGATCGATGCATTTACGACGGCCTAGTATTGCAAGCAAATCAGCAACTGGCACTGTCATGATGTTGATTTTCTTTATATAATTTAATAACTTTCTGATTCAATATCCTGCTTTGCTTAGACGACCTTCTTCTTTGTGTCCCGGCTGTCATTTCCATCATTCTGGAGCCAAACACCAACAGTTGCTAGGAAACCCACCAGCATGACAAGTGGGGCCAACGCAGGGCCCAGGCAAACATACTCCAGCAGATTCAACAAGCCAAAAAAGAGAAACAGGGGGATTCCCAACACAAATACCTGCACCAAAGCTTTGTATTGGTTGACAGCTCGAGCCATCTCCTGGCCAGCAATCAGGTAGTGCAAGATCCCGTCCTCGTTCTTGCCGTGGCACAACATGTTCTTGCTGTCATTGGCCCATAGCACATTCATGCACATCATTCGATGGGGAGCCAACCACCAGTGGGAAATGGTCTGATCGGCAGACAACAGAAAGTATTGAGAGTTTTCCATCACAGTGGGGGCATCGTCTTGAATGGAAACGTAGGTCGATGCCACAATTCCATTGACTACAATGGTACCGTCTGGTGTGAGTGGCATGTAGAGCCCTTTTCTCTCAACTGTCTTGATCTTGGTGATGACAGCTGCCTGTTTATTGTTGTGGGTGGATACTTCATCGCCCACCTGCAAATTCTTTGCCGGCACTGTTTCTCCATTGGCGAGAAAGATCAAGTGGTTCCCTGTCATTTCCAATGGCTTGCTGCTGCTGCTGTCGATGGAAGTGTGAATCTGCAAAAAGGTAGCCTTGTGATCGGTTTGGTAATGTCCAAAGCTATAGACAGGTTGGTAGGTTCCACTGGCAGTCAAAACTCTGTCTCCCAGTTGTAAATCCTTCATGGCAATGTCGCCCTTGCTTGCAACTTGGACCAGAGCCGACTCGGAGAAGCAATTACCAGCAGGTGCTGCCCTTGCAGGACTGTTGCTCTGAGGACTAACATTACTATTGCTGTTAGCATTACCACTGCCGCCACCCCGCACCCCATTTGTAGTAATGGTAGGCGATGGTGTCTTTGGCGCCTGGGTAGGAGCTGGTGTTTGGATGGCTTCTTGATCACAGTAACAATCGAGATATAGGTCTTGAGGCGCATCGGCTTCAATGTAGACTTCTAAAAAGCCTGTTTGCTTGTGGGAGGCAGTTCTATGAGTCAAGACCATGTTGCAATCACTGTTGGATTTGGTTTCCGAATATTGTCCCATCATGTAGGGATCTTCGTGTTGAATCTTCATGGTGGTCAATCCTCCACTGGTACACGTCAGTTCGCAGGTAATTTTGGTATCGGCAGCGACACGAAACTGTTGCAATTTCCGGACATCGTAATCGCTTTCACTGTGGCTACCCAAATCGGCCGACAAGCTGCAGGCCTGGACGGCAGTGTTGGTAGCAGTTGTTGTTGTCAAAGCCAAAAAGGCAAGGAATTTGTTTTTGCTGATGAACATCATGGTTGATTGAGTAGTTTTAGGTTTTAGTTTTTTGGTTTGCTGTGTTTTTCGTTTTGTGAGAAGACGACAATCTTGAGAGCAGATAGATAGATTGATTCCGTAGCGGTACGAGGACGGAGAAGGAAGGATTTGACTCGCACTTGTTGTGCTCCCACATGGCTCCTTGGAGGTCAAGGGTCAAGCATGTTCGAAGATAAATCAGCTTTTGCTTCTACAGTATCTGTTAGTTTGGGAGCTCCCCATGACTCCTGGCAGCTCTTGTCCCATCCCATTGAGACATGTAGACCCCTTCCTTGCGACTCCCGCGGTTGATTGAACCTTCAATCCTGCTTGTGTCCCCTCCTTGCTTGTGGTGCCGCGGTCCAGTGAGTCAAGTCGAGTCGACCAAGTCACAATTCTGATCCCTGAATGGTGCGTCAGACAAAGGATATCGTTGTCGCCCCCAAGAAAGATTTCAGCGAAGCGGCTCCAAAGGATCCGTGCAGTCCATTCGAAGAGAGAAGTAAGGAAGGAAGCAAACGGGTGAGAGACCTTGCTTGTTGAATGGGGAAGCTAAGCTAAAAGGGCAGAGTACACTATAGCTGTAACCGATAGCATAGCAGAAGAGAGGATCAAACTGCCAGGCAGTGAAGCCCCTCACTCTTACTCTCTCTACTCTAGATAGAGTTCTAGAGAAATCCAGAAGAATCTGTCTTTGTTTTCCCCAAAACTCCAAATCAATTGAGCCTTTGAGCCTGGAACTAATTTTCTGAACTCGGAAGGAGGGGGAGTTGAAGAAGACCTGAAGTCAAAGTTGGCAAAGCAAGATCTGATCCCAACTCAAGAGCTTTTCGTGTCTTACTCTCATAAGAGACACAATAAGTAAGTGCTTTCCACCATGAGTCCCAAAAAGCAGAACAAGAGCAAGCAGAAGAGCAAGAAGACGAATGAGTCTGCCAACAACAAAAACAAGAAGAAAAAGCCCAAGACAGCCAAGTATGCAATTGGCACTCGTTTTTGGAAGAGTTTTGGAGAACATGGCAACTTTGAAGCGACTGTTGCAAGCTTTGATGCTCAGACTGGCTTTTATCGATTGACGTACGACGATGGCGATCAAGAGGAAATGACAGAACGGGAAATTACGCAATGGATACAAAAGGACCTTCAAAATACTACTCAAGAAAACAATACTGAAGCTGAAGCTGAAGCTGAACCAGTGGAAAACCCAATGGAGATTGAGATGGATGATCTTGAGCAAGACAAGGACAAGAAGAACAAAACTGACAAAACCAAGAATGACAAGGGAAACAAACCAAAAAAGAGAAAGACCACTCCTACGCCACCACCAGCTCTACATGTAGATACCACACCAACAACTACAACTACAACTACAACTACAACTACAAATACGACCAAAACTCCCAAGTACCAAAATGGCACCAAGATTCTCAAGGCGTTCCCTGGCTATGAAGAACTCTTTCAAGGGACCATTGTTCGGCATGAACCAGACGACTCCGGTTTTTTCTATCACATTGTCTATGAGGATGGAGATGAGGAGGATCTCACGGAACGACAAGTCACCCGTCTCATCAACAAACAACATGAACAACAACTTCAGACGGAAACTACACCAGCCGCCACCACCACAACCGTTATTACCACGTCTTCTACCAAAGGACGTTCGATCCGTCGCATATCGTACGTGGACAACAATGACAGCAATGACGACGATGACGATGAGGAGGAAGAGGAAGCAGCACCACCCAAGAAACGCAGACGATCCTCTACTGCTAGTCGTGCCAAAAAGAAAAAGGACGACGACGAGGACGATGCCAGTGTGGTGTCCAACAAGGATCTATTTGAGGATTTGTTTGCAGAGCAAGATGCTAAAAAGCAACCTGCTGCCAACAATAAAAAACAGGAACCCAAACCCAAAAAGATGCACGAAAGTTACAAACCCATGAATCATCCCGTATACGACAAATTAACCACGGCAGAAATACAAGCCACCAAGCAATATTTGGATCCCTGTGGGATGGATGCCACGGATGATATTATTGGACGATTGATTGGGGATCAGATCGATAAAGTGGCCGGGTTGTGGTCCAGGGCACTGGCACACGACAAAACAACGCTGGGATCCGCTGAAACACCGCTACGATTGGGAACGGCGTGTAGTGGCACAGATGCGCCAGCGCTCGCCATGACCATGGTACTCGAGCAAATGGAATTGCGACGACGTGACAATGACAATGACAACAACACACTTCCCGTAATGCACTACTCGCACGAATTCTCCTGCGAAAATGATCCCATGAAACAAGCATACTTGGCACGCAATTTCGACAGCAAACTTTATCCAGATATCGCCAGACTGTGCGACAATCCAGCACCTCGTGACGTGTTTGGGCAAGAGCAACCATTGCCCAAAGCCAACATGTTTGTGGCCGGAACGTCCTGCAAGGACTTTAGTACGATGCGGTCCAAAAAACGAAAGGACATTGAAGATCGAGGATGTTCCGGAGAAACCTTTCTGGCGGCCTGTGAAGTCATTCTCAAGGAACAACCGACGATTTGCATTCTGGAAAATGTGGTGGGTGCGTGGTGGAAGAAAATGTCCGAGTATATTGTCGGACGCATCCAATTGTCGGATGCGGGCAAGGGAAAAGATGGTGAAACCAAAGACGCCACGAAGGGTCCCAAAGAACTCAAATTCTCGTTCGATAACAAGCAGGGCAATAAGCTCGTGGTGGAAGAAGTCCCAAAGATGTGGGGTGTGCATTGCGGTTCGACCGTAGCCGGCTTTCTCAAGGGTGACACAATGGGAAAGATTCACCCAGTCGAATGGCCCACGAAAGTTAAAAAGACCGAAAAGTGCACCTTGACCGACCTACTGGGACCCAATAAGATTGACAAAAAGAAGGATTGGTTGGTCTTTGATCGGCCCGTCACGTACCAAACACATTGGGTGAGGGTCGATACCAAGAACTTTGGACTGCCCCAAACAAGACAACGAACCTACATGTTTGTCTGGCAAACGAATCCCCAGCCAAAAGATGGATTTTTCTACCCCGACAATCTCGGCGCGTATTGGGAAGCACTCGTGAAACATTTGGAATCGCCGGTAAAGCACCCTTTGGAAGCCTTCCTTTTGCCACTGGACCATGATAACATGCGAGCGTATCGAGAAGCACTGAGGGGGCCACTCGGTCGCGAGAGCACTCGCCGAAAAGCCATGTACCCAAACTTTTGGACCACGGCAAGCAAGAATCGTCCCCACAACAAGGCGGCCAGGACGACCTCGGGGATTGGGGATGAAGCTCGCCACATCACGCAATGGGGAGACAACGGCAAGAAGAAGCTACCGCCACATTACTGGCTGGAATACATGAATTGTAACAGTGAGTTCGACGTCGATTGTCACTGTGGACTACATTCCCTCAATTGTTGTGGCTCAATTTCTCGTTTTCTTTTTAATGTGTCTTCAAGGCCCACGGTGTTTGGATGTGGTGGACGTGTGAGTAGTATTTGACCACGTTGGCTGCGCGCCATATTTCAGTTTGCTGACTTGCGTATGCTGTCTTTTTGGATGGTGCTCCTCAGTCTGCACGCTCAAGCTCTACGCGACGCAGAATCCCATGATGCCAACCATGCCAGTTTCTTTTGGAACGTCAGTCAAAACGTGACAAAAGAGAGGCATCGCACCGCAAAACCGGGTATAGCAAGTTGGTACGTTGTCCCCACCGCAGTCTGAGTCGCTTCCAATGTGAACCTTCATTGAGACTGACGCCATTGATTCAAAATGTCGAGCAGTATCACACCAGGAGGCGACTTTTTACTTCCACACCAGGGAAGGAATCTTTTGGGAGTTGAGAAGCTCTTGATCCAAGGGATTCCGTATTTCCGACTGGCATTGGGTAACGAAACAGAAGTTAATCTGGCTGACCTTGCGGGGAACGCCATGAGGTACGTTTGTGTTGTGCAAGGACCAAGTGTTATCACGCCGTATGCATTTTCTTCGACCGCTCAGCTCAACAGTTGTCCTTTATTTCAGTTCCACTGTCGTCTGTGCGACCATGTTAGCTGCCCTCATGGCCCCTCAACTTCGCAAGGAAATGCAAGCAAGTATCGCAGGAGATGACACCACCAACAAAGCACCCAGCTTGGAAAAGATCAAGGAATTTCTCGAGAAACACGCCAGACTTGACTCGACGGGAGAACAGAGCCGCAAATGGGCCGGTGAAATCTCAATGGTGAAAACTGAGTTGCAGAGCAACGAGGCTGATCGACACACGGGAGACAAATCTTGCATGGAGTTATTTGGAGAGCTCGCAGCACTGGCACCACTTGCCGTCAAATCCTCAGTATGGTGCACATGTGAATCGAGCGGTAACCGTTCGCGCACAAACAAATTCGTCAAATGCAAGGTATGCTGTGTGTCTTGCTGTCGCAACTGTATCTCTGAGCATGCAGGATACAATTTGGACACCCATGATACGGTCGAGATCGAAATTGGGAATGAAAGCGGTGCGGATTTTCCTGTGGACGAACGAAACCTTTTTGAATTTGAAAAGAAGCTGCGAAGCATGTTGCCGTCATCCGTCTACTTGAGCAAAGAAGGGATTGGCAAGGTTGCTGAGGTAGAAAATGATCGATACAGGATTCGCGGCCTAGACAAATTCAGCTTTGTCTTGTACAGCATCAAGCGAGAATGTGGCAAATGGTTGATCGTCTACTATGCTCGTGACAAATGCGGTGTTGGAGAGGCCGTCGCAGAGATGCGTATCACGGTGGGGAAAGTCAGGCGAGGGCAGGCTGGAGAGTCCAATCTCCTGGGCCTTCGATGTGAGCTCACGTCTTTCATCCCTGCGCGATCCGAGCCTTTGCAGTACGGGAATCTTGCTCCATGTTGTCAACTTGTCTTGCTCCTCCCAAAAGATGGGAGTGCTCCGAATGTCAATGATGCGACATGGCAAGTGAGGCTTCCAGAAGTCTCGTCTTCAATACAGCTATCAGGGACTGGGGATACTGATTCCTATCGCGTGGAAGTCGGCATTACCGACGAAGCGCCCGAAGCATTGGAACAGCATACGAAGAGCAAGAAGGGGCGATATGAGTTAGTTGTGAAAACCAAGGAAGAGCGACGTTGGCTTTATCCCAAGGTCTGGAAAAAGTGGCCGTCATCCATAAGGATTCGCTGTCCGCATGATGGTATCGATCGTCGTGTCTCTGGAACGTACCTGCGTGCCGCATGTCGCCAAACAACGAACCAGTCGGCTCTGTGGATAAAGCAAGTTGAGGGGAAGCCTTCAATCTATTTGCTGATGAAGCCAAATGTCAGCCGAACTGGAGGGGACTACGCAATCATTACAACCTCGATGGATTTCACCGACACTTCGTGCATTCTGGCGGAACTGGATCAGTATTGGCAACCCGGTGATGCATTTGACGCAACCAATCAGCGTCAGGCTGTGCGGTGCCAGTCTTGGGGGGCGCTGCCTGGTTTTGAATGCAAGATCCCGAAGTCAACAATACAAGTGGAGGCCCCCGGTACAGAGAACAATCTTGTTGTTGTCCAAGGTCTCAAGAGAACTGAGGCGACAATGCTAGAACGCATTGATTGCATGAACAGAACCAGCAGTGGAGATGGTGCTCTCGTTGAGCTCAATGTTACTTCTGGACAGCGGGCCCAACAAGTTGTTCGAAGGATTAACGCTATCATCGCGCCCCAAATACTCAAGTTCGCTGCCATGGGCGGTTTGCGCTACGACTTGAGCCCTACGGCTGACTGGGAGGTCCTTGAAAGCAACGATGATGAACCATTTGGGACTTGCGTTCCCGTCCGTCCCAAGGAGAGTTGGTTCTACGACGAGGAACGAGAACGTTGGGATCGACGCTTCGACCATGATGCCAGCCGAACTTACTACATGAATCTGCAAGGAGCCCAAAAGCCTTTCGAGTTTTGGCTTGACAGGGAGAGGTGCTCGCTAGAGATCAAGATGTTTCCAAAAGTTGTTGCCCATGCTGCTGCTGCACAGCTATTGCGGGGCCGCGGAATTCTTTCCGATGACAACAAGCATGGCGGAGCACAGGTTTCGTTTCGATTGTCGGATGTGTCTCAGCAAATCGATCCGACGATCGATCGGTTTCGAGTGGAAAACTGCAGTGCTTTGGATGCAACTCCTGTGGAACTGCAACATCCATACAAACTCTACGACAGGCAACGAAAAGTTCTCACCAAGATGCTCGCCATCGAGGAGGGAAAGACTTCCTTTTTAGAAATGGAAATGTCAGAGTCCAACATGCCGGGTACAGTTGGATTTAGTCTCATGGCACAAGCCAAACGCTCGAGAAACATCTGTGGCGGTGTCATTGCCGATGCGATTGGCGCGGGCAAGACCGTAATCTCGATTGCCATAATCGTACAGGGCATCGAGAGGGCTAGAGCGTCGCGGGCGACCCCAAGAAAGAGCGGGGCAACGCTGGTAGTGGTACCTCCAGCGCTGATCGACCAGTGGGAGTCAGAAGTGCAGAAATTCGCGCCTTCTCTTGTCGTCATCACCGTCCACGACTTCAAGGAACTGGACTCTATCAAGCTATCATCTTTGATTGAAGCGGACGTTGTGGTGTGCCCTGTCGACATATTGGAGTCCAAAAAGTATCTCGCCAACCTTGTACAAAAGGCTGGCCTCGACAAAACCACCAGCGCCGAGCATCTTCCGAAGCTGCCAGCTTACAGCGGTGAGCGAGAGCAAATTGAGGCACGGGGTGTCTGGATTCCTCACGAATCGGCAGATCCATACAACGTTGGTTCCAAGACAAATGATCAGCAAAGACGCAACAAAAGTGCCTACTACACCTACGTGTACCAATCTGCCATCCAGTCCCTTCGCGAAAAGAATTTTTCGCCATCGGACACTGGCATCCCCTTGGAGTATTTCGAGTTTGAACGTCTGTTTGTCGATGAAATCCACGAATCACTTTGCACAACCAAGGAAGAACTAGCGACGGCCGCAGAGACCGCGAAAAGCTCCAACGTGGGCTTTTGGAAAGAAAAGAACCGTCGTGCGGGCCGGGAGCTTTTGGGAATTACCCAAAAGGACGTTACCAAACGTCCTTTGGTTTGCCGACGGGCCGTGTTTGGCTTGACGGGAACTCCCCTCTTGGACAGCAACAGTCGTGTGATTGAGTTGGCCAATCTCATGGGAGGCACCTACGTGCTTGGTCTGTCGAAAATATGGCGGAAGTTGGAGCGAGAATCATGCCGCGACATCTTCTTGCACAACTTCTTGGAACCCAAGCCAAGCCGGGCGGTCCGTCGACAGGGATACGCACGATGCCAGGACTATCTCAAGGTGGCCTGCTGTCGGAACCGATCGGGAGAAGAAATGAAGGGCATTGAGCTCCAAGAGCATGTCGAGGTGATCCAAATGTCCGAGGCCGAAAAGACAGCCTACTTGAAGAGTCAAATCGGAATTCCAGCGGACCAACGATGTTTGGGGATCAAGCCAACGGACTTTGATGAGAACGAAGGGCAAGACATGAGTGGCTTGTTGCGGCAGAATGCTTCCTGTCCCAGTCGAGGTGCTAAGTTGGTGGAGATTTGTCAAAAGATCCTGTCGGAGGCACCAACCACGAAGATTATTGTGTTTACGGACGGGAGCATTGGAGCGGGCATTGCCGCACGAGAAGCCTTGTGCGGCCCCGATGGCCCCGATTGTACGTGGCTGGACACGGAGGATTCTGTCAAGTTGAAGAACGAAAAGATTGGTTGGTATCAACGCGGCGACGCCACGGACGAGGACCGCCAGCGCCCTCGCGTGCTCGTTTTGCACTACGAACATGCGGCTGGTTTGAATTTACAATCGGAAAGTCACAATGTGATTCTGTTTTCTCCTTTGTATGTGGGTAAGGGCGGGTGCAGTGACGACCCCGTTTCGGATGTGAGCACGGAGCTGCAGGCCATTGGTCGGGTGTATCGCATTGGACAACCCAGCCGCGTGGTACACGTGTACCGGATCGAAGTCCAAGGGCCGAAAGGCGAAGAGTGTTTGGATGGTAAACTGATTGACCGCAACAGCGATCCAGAAGTCATTGCCATGGCCACCAATGCGGAATAGATCGTCCGCTGAGGCTTAGTTAGTAGGAAGGGGTCAGGGATTAATGATACATATGAGAAACATAAGACTTCTGTGCCCTCCTAGCCTTTGGGAGCAATCACATAGACGCAGCGAGACCGTCAGGCAAGAAACTGTCTCTGTGACAGCCAAGCAATAGTGATGAGGCAACATTCCTGGCCTCAACGCCTCGTGGCTCTACCGTACCATCACCTCACAAGCAGACAGAACATGGTGTTTCGCTGCTACAGATTTAAAAACAACAACAAGTTAAAATCGACGAAGAATTTAAAAGATGAACATTAGTCTTGAGAGTAATCAAGTGGAAAGGCAAACTCCTGTCTGATCGCAGCAAACGGTGCAACAATCAGAAGCGCACTGGATGGCAGGAACTCCGGTTTCTGTACTGGGCAAACAGTCAGCCACAAATGCAACTTCAAAACGACCGTGTTCAAGATATGCAAGATTCCGGCAGAAAGAGATTGGAATAGTGCCAGTGATCTGATTCCCGTTCACTACAAGTTGTGCCAGATTTGTCAGTGCCACAATCTCATTGGGAATGGTGCCATGGAAGTGGTTGTTGGATACGTCCAGCGAGATGAGATGTGTCAAAAGGCCAAGTGAAGGGCTGATGGTCCCAGTGAAGTTGCAACCATCCAAGTAGAGAAACTCGAGCTTATTGAGTCCAGTGTATAGTTCTTTGGGGAGCGTCCCTTGCATGTTGGTGTTAGAGAGAATCATTTCAAGAAGCTGGTTTGCCAAGCCAATCTCTGAGGGCAAGGAACCAGACATATGAGTGTGATTCAAGTACAGATATTCCAAATTGGTGAGCAGCCCAATTTCACTTGGAAAAGTCCCAGTGAGCTTTAATTCACAGAGAAGAACAAAAAGAAGGTGAGCTTTGGGCATGTGCGCGTGTTCACCGGTAGTTGGGTGTGTGGTGCGCCAAGAGAGAAGGAGAAAAAGAGGAAAGGGGTGACTCACATCATTTTTACCCAAATAGAGCCGCCTTAGAGAAGTTTGATTGAGTATTTCTTGCGGAATGGAACCTGTCAATGTGTTCCTTGTGAGTATGATGTCTTTCAAAGGGAGTAGACCCAACTCTGATGGAATTCTCCCGGTCAAGGTGTTTCGCTGCAGACGGAGACTGGTAAGTTTTCCATTTCCTTCAAGAAAGCTTGGAACCCATTGTGTAGGAATAGTACCAGAAAATTGATTCCAGGACAAATCAAGAGACTTCAGGGCAACACCTGCTCTTTTGGAAAGGAGCCTTGGGGGCAGTACTCCAGTCAGCATGTTGGAGCTAAGCCCTAGAATCCTCAGCTGTGGCAATCTTGTGATCTCCCAGGGAAGAGGGCCATTAAGATCATTCCTAACTGAAGAATCCAGAGGTCGACAGAGTCAGAAATATGCAAATCGCAGATGTTTGTTTGATAACCGTTTGGAGAGACTTACAAAGACGCAGCTCAGCAACTGTCCTATCCACTGATTGCACAGTTTCACAGGTAATTCCAGCCCACTGGCATTCATGACTAGCGGAGAGCCACTGATCCCCCCAAATGTTTGATGTTGCTTCACCAGTGTAAAAAGCTGGCTCATAGCAGAAACCAGATGTAGCACTCGGTTGGGGACTCGCTGCCGGGTTGCACTCTTTCCATGGCTTGTGCCTTGTGGTCTGATAGTAGAAGAGCACCAGCAGAAACCGCTGAACCAAATTGGGAGAATCATACCTCAATTGCAATGGGTCCTGATTGACAATCCAGTCCAATGCCTTCCGCCTAGTTTCCAGCAAGAATTCCGCAAGTTTATCATCCAAATAATCATTTCCAGTTTCTTCCGCCACATGTTCCAAATAGTCCCTGCCCAAGATGATTGTCAAGGCAATTTCAATCTTGGGTGCTTCAACGACATCTCTGGTTGTGGTGGGCGCCATGGTACTTCTAATACTGCCATCCACCACATAGACCTTTTTGCTGCAGTGTCCGGTTCCACAAACAGCGCTCAAACTTATTCCAGCAAGAACCAAAAGGACACAGAGTCCTACTACCATGAAATAAAAAGGCCAGTTGCTTTGCTGCCGGCCCTTCCTTCTACTGCCATCATGGACTGTAGCAACGGGTAGGTCGTCCTCCATAACAGCAACCGGTTTTGCCTCTGCCAGTGACTCTTGAGGAGGTGGTTGTGTGTTTCTGTCGTCGTCGTCGTCGCCGCCGTTGGCAACAAGTGTATTTGTAGTTGGCTGTTGTTGGCTATTTTCCACGGCCAGAGTAGTAGGATTCCGTCTCGAGATTGATGATGGATTGTTGTGATTTGGCTGTTGGGTAATTCGGAACGTTTGGACAGCATGGGCTCCTGGTGTACTTTCTTGCATGGCAGCAATGTTTGCATCGTTCCTAGTAGTAGAGAGGGATGGCATATCCATGGGCATTGAGGGCGTTTCTAGAATCCACGCTGGCTCCTTGTTTTTGCCCAAACTATCTGTGGGGATGTGATCGCCTTGTACACCAATTTTCTTGGCCACATCATCCTCCTTTTGATCCTTTTGAATTATTGTTGAATCAATAGCGTCTCCATCTGATTCCAAAGAAATTTGTCGAACTGGGTATATTTGTGTTTTTTGGTTGATTTTGGATTCCAAGCTTGCCATGGACGGGACAACATCCATTATTGATGCCTCCTTGATGGTAGCTTTTTCGTGTTCCTTGAGGATTCTGTTTTCGTCAATTTTTTGTTGGCCTGCTGTGATACTCTTGCTCCATGATGTGGCCGTGGGATCTTGCGATGACTCCTCGGGAAGAGGTGGTAACACAGGCGGGTTTGTGACTGTTGATGGTCCTCCTCTTGGCTGCTGTGTGACTGGCTGAAACGCAGCATAGTCTACATCATCGGTATTATGTAGACTCTGTACTGATGGGTACATGTGAGGGACAAATAGCTGGGCGTCTTGGAAATGAGTCGTGACAGAAGAAGCACAACTCATGTCTTCTGGTGTGGGGACATTGATCACACTCGGTGGGTCCACAGACACAGACTCATCCTCCAAGTTGAGTTCATGTTGCTGCTGTTGTTGTTGCTGCTGCTGGCCATTACCGGTACTCGAGGTTGGCATCACAACACCATCGGCGCTGCCATCAGTAACATTAGGAGTATACATAGACATCGTTGGCTCGAGGATCGAGGATTGATGCGGTATATTGGAGTGTGTTTTGGGAGGTCGGGGAGAGACACCATGCAGTTCGACTGGAGGAAAAGAAGGAAGGAGCGAAAGAGGTGAGTCCGGAGCAAGCAGAGAAACATGCGTACGAGGGGGAGTAACACGAAGAGATTACGTAGGTTGGAATGGACTTAGTGGTCAAGACTCCACTTTTTATTTAAGCCCTATTGCGACTTGAGAGACATCCACGGCAGCTTCCACGGCATGGAAAAAGCTCCACGATTCGATTCAATTCGATTCTATATTCAGAATGTTAGCAAAATTTTTCGATTTGAGACTTGCCACCAAAGAAAGCTGAAAGCTGAAAGGATGCCACGTTCGACCCTCGACGTACGTGTCATTTGTTTTCTGCCACCACAAGAGTTCTTTTGCTTGGATACCGGTACACGCGAACACCTGAACACTTACTTGAAGCCTGGATCCTTCTTTGATCTCATTCTTTGGACCACAATAAAAAGCCCACAACCTCACTAAACTACTAAAAGAAGAGACGAATAGAGACGCACCAAGATGAGCAGCACTACTACATCGAGTGTATACGACGGTCTGATCCACAATGATCCTGGTTTGCTTCAGTTAAAGAATGTGCCGTATATCATGACACTGGAAGACGAGAAGGCGTTGTTGGAAGACGCTCGCAGTCGTCGTTCCAAATTGTTGGAGAATGATTTGCAAGAGGGCGAATGGTATTCTCGCGTGTCGTATTCGGGTGTCAAGGTGACTTCGCGCAAAGACGAAGACAATCCGTTCTGCATGACCAAAGGTGTTACCGATGCTCCGGAAGGCATGACGGTCGATCATGTCTTTCAACAATTCTCCAAGGATTTCTCCAACAACGATTTTGTGTTGAGAGCATTTAATCGCGTGGATCCCATGAATCGACACATGACCATTGTTGGAGAAGTGCAGCACAAGGAATTGTATGAGGGAGATGAAAGACTCATTCTGATGGTACGTAATATATGACCTACTGGCAAGAAAGAAAAAGGGAAGATTCAGGTTGAAACTCATTCATCTTTTTCGCTATTTGCCGTTTTCTTTTCTATTTTCTTAATGACAGTGGGGAGCCTACTATGTGAATCCGTTTGTCTCGGATCGTGATTTTATCTACGTCAATCATATTTCCACCACCGCTTGTCCCGTTACCCAAAAACGCGTCTTTTGCAGCAACAATTTCAGCATTCCCTTGGATAGTGTTGCTCCCGATATGTATTCTACGACGGGACGGGTCCGTGGTGAGGTGCAATTGACGGGATATATCTTTCGACCCAAAGCTGACGACGACGACGATACCAAGTTGTCCATGACGTTTGTGGGACAATGTGACCCGAAAGGATATCTACCCGCCACGATTGTCAATTTTGTCAGTGTCTCGCAATCCATGAATGTCGGACGGATTCGTGATTCCTACATTCATTTCTGGGACGTGCTTCACAATCACATGCAGTACACGTCGTACGTCCCCGTCTGTTGCTATTACATGCCCCGCCGCGGAGGAGGTGCGTGCCACAAATTAGTGGTCGACAACAACAAGAACAACAATACACATGTGCGATTGTTGGCGCATTGCGATCACGCCGTTTCGGTCGTGTTCCTCGCAGATAGTTTTCCCGGTACCGTCGAACAAGGTCCCAAAGACGAAATGGCCGCACAACTCATTCAAGGAGACGCGGTCGAATTCGGAGGCAAGAATAATTTTCTATTGGATATCACGCTCCAAGTTACAATGCCTCCTCCTGACGACAACAACAACAACAGCACGGAAAAGAAGGAACTCTGTTTGGAATTTGTATTCACCAACCATGGATGGAGAAAGGCGACCTTGTGCATCCCCAGCAAGACCGATGTGAAAAAGGAGGATGCGACGGCCGTCGAGCAATAAGCGCATGATCGTCACAAGAAATTATTAAGCAACAGTTCATTGAAACAGTAGGAAAGGTAGGAGTCGTGAAGGTTCGTAGATTCGATCATGAGGGCCATACGTTCGAGGCATGTTCGGTGCCTTTACCAAAGAGACGACTTTCCGTGATAGCTAGGCAAAGTATAAATCATTCTAGTTTTTGTTTGCACTCTATTCCTTTGCGCAGCAAGTACGTAGCGCAGCAAGTACGTAGCGCAGCCAGCTGTGCCGAAGCATTGTGCCTATCCATGGATCTCGACAGCAGCTTGGGACCCAGCATCAGCCAGCGGATCACCCTGCTGCCCACTGTCTAAATCTTACTGCACTACGCTAAAAGCTAGTGTAAAGATCTTTCGAGTGTTTTGAGTTTGAGAGAATGAAAGTTATGAGAGAGATTAGAAAGCTACGAAAACTAATCCATGAGAGAGATCGTTGTGAAGCTCATTGAAGTTGGTCTGCCTCGAAGTGTGATATCGTAGGTTATGGCAATAACTCTACGTACTCCACGGTTCATTTCCGGAACACGTGGAAACTTATATCTGAACTCCCGTGGGAGACTGTAGAGTGTGATAGAGTAGGTTGCGGTAGCAATCCTACTCACTCCACGATCCAAAAACGGAACGCGTGGAAGATTCGTCTAGCATTTATCTAGTAGCGTGGAATCTCTCCACGCCAGCTAAATATCTAGCGCGATGTTTCACCATCGACCTAGTATGACTAGCAGTCATGAGAACCCTGTCTCAATGACTATTCGCGAAGGACTACGTCATGAGTCGAACTCAAACCCTATCTAGGATCGAGTCGCGAATAAGGCTAAGAGCCGTGTATTGCATTCGCCCCCTGACAAGGGTCACAGAAGGCACAACATCAGTCGGACAAGGAGAACATATGAATTAAAGTGCGGGGCACTCTCCGGAGATTGGATGTAGACATGTGCGTCGCACGATGGCAATCCTACAAGGGGATCAGGCCTTGTATGGGTGTAAATACCTTATGTTCCAAGTCTGGTAGACTGTGCCGCTATTGGCGGTAGCATGTCGGAGCCGTATGGTGCCATTGTTATTGACTCGGTCTTTATTGTAAGGACCTTTGTACTTTGGCTGACCGTACTTGCGGTGCTGATACTGTTGAAACCTCACAGTATCGTTGACATTGTATTGATGAGGGACACGCGTCGCGTTTCCCTTCTCATTGTTATTCTGGATGAGTCGTTGGCGACGTTCTTTGATGTGTTTCCAGTTTACTTCGAAACGGACGTTGTGAATCGCGTCACGATTGAACACGTGTGGTAATGAACTTGCGACGAAGTCCATATGCATCCTGGAGAGTCTTTTCGACTTCTGTGCGGAACTCACGTTCTCTATCCATGATAACCTCAGCAGGCCATGGATACTGGGTGAGCCACGTCTGTTCTAGAACGATGGCTACTTCGTCTGCTGCATCGGAGCAGATCTCGGCAATCTCGAACCATTCGGTTACGGGATCAATCATTGTCAAGCAATGAAATGGACAGGGATTCCTTTTCTTGGGATCCTCGACGTTATATGTACATGTGATCTTCTGATCCATATGTCTCGATAGTAGTTCACTAGTCCAATGAATCTACCAGGTTTCTTCCTGTTCGTAGGAGGAGCGATATTCTGGATCGCGTCTATTTTCTTGGTTACGGGTGGATTCCTTCTCAAGTCATCCAGTAGCCTAGATATTCAAGTCCTCTTCTTTCGAAGAAGGACTTGGTAGTATTGATCTTAAGTCCGGCTTCTCGAAGCCTTTAGGAGAACATCATCTAACTATTCAACGTGATCCACTAGATCGCCGTTAGTTAGAATGAGTTGATCATCAATGTATGCACGGACATTTTCCAAGTCGTGCATGAGTGTTCCCATCTTCCTTTGGAAGATGTCGGGACTATTGCATAGGCCCATTGGTACTCGCTGGTACTCGTATTTCCTGAATCTGTCTAGATTCAGTAGCATGTCTTGTATCCTTGGGATCGGACGAGGTTTTTGCTCAATCCTTTTGTTCAGTTTCCGGACGTCAGAGATGAATCGTGTAGATCCATTCTTTTTGGGAATGATAAATGTTGGTGCTGTCCACTCGGAACGGTTCATCGTCTTAAGTGCTCCTGCGTCGCAGAGACGTTCGACCTCTGTCGTAAGAGTGTTGGTATGGACACGTGGAGTAGGGTAAGTCCTAGTGTGATAGGGTTTAGCGTCAGGACGAAGTTCTACTTCGTAGTCGTCCATTTGTCGCTTTCCTAAAGTACCTTCGAATTGGTCGGAGCACTTGGTCCATAAGGCATGAAGCGGTTCCTGCTCTTCCTTAGGATTGCTATCTTTCATAGGGAAAGATGTGCTATTCCACTTTGCTGACGGGGTAGTGAAATCGAACTTGATTCTTAGATCGGAGAGAAAGTCTCGACCTATGATCATGTCATACGCCCCCAAGTTCTTGGTGGCGTGCAAGTTCCATTCGATAATTCTATCATCGTGGAACTCAGGAGTCATAAGTGCACCTTTACACTTCGTGCTGGGGTTTAATTCCTTTACAGGCAGGGGTAGTCCATTGTATTTGGACGCCCCCATGATCCCTCATGCTTAATGTCTCAGCATGAATTTGGGTAATCAAGGTTCCAGATGCTTCTGTGTCCAGTAAGCAACGGAGTGTAACGGTTCTTTGTTTCCCTTTTTCTCGTCTGTTAAATCTAACATAGACGATAGTTTTGAGGTCTCTTGTCTTGCGACGTTGACGAGGTGGTTGGCCACGGACGAGGTTAACAATGCTGGATAGATCGTCAGGATCTAGTTGAGCAGTTTCTAGGCAATTGTCTAATTTGCCGTAGACTTCATCAGTTGCAAACAATTCTTGTTTACTAGTTAGTGAGATATCTTCATCACTTAGGTATGAGAAATCGGAACATGGCTCCGTTGAATCATCATCCTGGCCTAATCCTCAGACGGAGATCTCTCCATCTGAATGATTGAAGTCGAAGTCGGCAAGAGCCTTGTCGACTGCAGCCATTTTCTTGTCCATCATGTTGAGGGACCCGACAGAGGAGTCATCCTCGTTGTCAGAGTCGTCCGACTTGCGTTTGGCAACATGGTTGCATTCGCTTTTCTTCTTGCGTTCCGCCTTGACCGCAGCGTTGGAGACTTTCTTCATAAGGACCGAAAGTTCCTTTTTGGTGTAGGACTTGGCGTCGTCAGACTTGCGTTTCCAAGTCTTGTTCTTGTTGTACGCTGGCTTGCTATCGTTGTCGGACGAGGACTTGGCTTTGAGTTTCTTCAGAGTCATGCAATCAGCAGTATTGTGAGTGCTGGACTCGTGGTAATCACACCACTTCTCTTCGCTCTTGGAAGAATGGTCGTTGTTGCGAGTAGACTTGTACTTCTTGCTGTTGTTCTTCTTCGAAGGAACTTGCTTGGCATCACTGCCTTTGTCAAAGTCTTCGGCGGATTCCATGCGCTCACAGAATCCAATGAGCGCTGCCATCTCGGCAGTGAAAGGATCGAAGTCGTGTTCGTCCATCTTGCGCATCCAGGAACGAGGAATGCCATGACAGATGATGTCGATGAATTCGTCCTGGTTCAACTGTTGATTGACACCGAAAGGTGGCAAACGTGGAAGCTCATCGGTGTTCATCCGAGTGAGGTTGTTGATGTAGGCGCGAGTTGTCATCTCGCTAGGCTTACGCATCTTGCGACGCATGAAGCGTTTCTGTTTTTCGAGAGCCTTGTAAGGACAGGCTGCTTCGATAACCGCGTTAATTCCAACGGTGATGTCCTCATCGCTTAGAGCGGGTTCCGCTGCACCGTCCCATGCGGCTTGAACACGAGCTTGGAATTGGACTTCGGTTTCTCCAGAAGTCACGTCGCGTGGAGCAACTGCGTTTACAGCAATTTGTCGTAGGTTGTGGTGACGACGGCACGATGGCCTGCACCACCCAGCTTCGTAGGCACTCTTCGCAGAGCTGGAAGTCATCTCCTTGAGAAGGCGATGTTTGTCGTCGGCATTGGCAAGTTGAGTCCAACGAAACCTTCTCCATATTCGTAGCCCACTTGATGGTCTGACGTGGAGTGTTGGACCATTGATAATGGCTACCTTGAAGGTATATTTGGCACTGTTTGCATCTGCAGGAACGGTGCGAAGTTTGTAAGTGGTTGCACGAGTAACGTCGATCTCGCTTCTTCTCATTGTCACGAGAGGAAGAATGGGTTTGTCACGCAACTGTTTCTCGAAGTTGCGTGAACGCATGTTCCTTGAGCAATCTTCATGGTGAAGGAATAGGTTGAGGGTAGCTGAAAGCTATTGTGTTTGTTAACAAAATGCACTACGCTAAAAGCTAGTGTAAAGATCTTTCGAGTTTTTGAGTTTGAGAGAATGAAAGTTATGAGAGAGATTAGAAAAGCTACGAAAACTAATCCATGAGAGAGATCGTTGTGAAGCTCATTGAAGTTGGTCTCCCGCGGAGGCCTCGAAGTGTGATATCGTAGGTTATGGCAATAACTCTACGTACTCCACGGTCCATTTCCGGAACACGTGGAAACTTCAGCTAGTACTGTCTAGTAGCTGGAAGCTTTCCACGCCGGCTAAATATCTAGAGGCGATGTTTCATCGACAACCTAGTATGACTAGCAGTCATGAGAACCCTGTCTCAATGACTATTCGTGAAGGACTACGTCATGAGTCGAACTCAAACCCTATCTCTAGAGGATCGAGTCGCGAATAAGGCTAAGAGCCGTGTATTGCATTACCGGCGGGCCACGGACTATACGATATAGATAGAACCACTCAGTCTATTTCAACTACAACTAGCATTCAGCACACAGTCTTATGTAGACATTTCTCCTTCTGTCCAAGAAGAATTCGAACAGGCGCAATCACATCCACACAAAACCGAGTTGCAGTCAAAGCCAAGATGGCAGGGCTGAGCGATCCAAACGGGCCCATACATACAAGATACATTCTGCAAGAAACATAGCTCCTCTGGGATCGTGCCAAACAAGCCAAGGTTGCCAGTTAGATTCAAAAAACCCAATTTTGTCAAGTCCCAAGATGGCACAGGTCCAGTCAACCGATTTCCATCCAAACGTAAATCAGTCATAGCATTCAGCTGTCCAAACTCAGAGGGAATCTGGCCAGTGATTTGATTTTCTTGCAAATACAACCGATC